AAGGGATGAGAAAACAATATCGTTGAAATAGACGAGAAAATCTCTCATCCCCCTTTTCTTTGGTTGATATTACCGCTGTTACCTTGTGTCACGTTATTCCCGGAAAACATGACATGGTGAAAACTATTATAACTCCCATGCCCATTCTTGTTTTGAAGCGATTACGACCACGTAAGACGAGACAGACTCTGGTTGCAGCCCTGGAAGCGGCAGCGACGGCGAAGTTTCAATGCTTGCAGGAGACACATTTCGAGATAGAGATAGTGTATTTATACTGAGATTTCTGCTGCGTTCCAAGAGAATACGTAGTATCGATCGAATCCGGTAACTCTAGAATTTGTGGGGAGCTAAGTGAATAGTGAGGTAGGTTATAATATAATAAGCGGAGGGTCTCTGGGTCATGCAGTGATTATAGTCAAATGTTGCATATTCACTAGAACAATAAAACCAGGGAAGGTAAATGGGTAGGGCGGAGAGTGGTATAGAGAGTTCGCATCGATATGACCGTAGCTAGCTCTATTTAAGGCCTTAGACATGACAACAACAGCTCTGAAGCCTTCAAACTCCCCTATCAGGTTTTCCACGCCCAAATCGATGCCGTGGAGAACACCTTGATATCAGAATCTATTATACGAGATTCATGATCTTCGAGCTTGCACAAAGCCAAAGTAGCTATCATCAGGTCTATTATCTCTATCAGTTTAAGCCTTTTAGGGCACTGGGAGTGTTTGGATCTCCGCGTGCCAATAAAATCTGATAATATTTTGACGAGTGATCATCGACGGAATGAGTATTAGCTGATGGTAAAACTGTCATAAGTTGACGGCGAAAATGACTTTAGAGCAGATAACGAACAGACTCAAGAGAGAAGAGACAGGAATAAAGGATAAGAATGAAGGGATTGCCTAGAAGTGTTTTAGCAACGAGCATATCAAAAGCGATGCGATGATTGTAATATCTTTGGAAAGCGATATAATCCCACGAGGAAAATAGGTCGTTATAGGTTCCATGTAGAGTAAAAGGTGTCTCAAAAAAAAACTCTTTCCAGTACTTGAGAGTCTTTTTAAGCTAGAGTAGCATGGAACCAGCGGGATGGAGTGAATGATAATGGATACGTAGATGGAGAAAGCGAGTGAATGGCAGAAGAGGGGACATTCAGAAGCCTCCAGAGATACATAGGGACCGAATCACTCGAGTACTGTAGTGCTAATATGACGGCGGGTGAATCTACAAACTCATTGAATCTCAAGAGGAAGCCCATGACCAAGTAGCGCTTGAGAAAACCCACAAGGCCTCGAATGTTCTTGGAGAGTCCCACTATCATACATCGAAGGAATTTGACAAAGCGAAGTATATTTTCATGAACGGTGCCTCAAGTTCTCTTCTGGTATTGATTACGATTTCAAAGTTGGATATCTTGAAATTCCAGGAAGTCCCCTTGAAAGCACGGATATTATGTCTGTCAGGGACTCCACCAAGATCTTACATTATCTAATCCAAAGACCAGAGAATGCTCGTTGTCAAATCCGGATGAGAATAGCCAAAGTGTTCTTGATGTGCAAATTTGGATGGAAAAGTTAAGTCAATACTTCAATAGCCACCGAAGAAGTGTTGTCGATTGTGGTACATCTCTTTAAGACCCTAAATTCAACGGACGACAACGCATGAAATTGACCTAAGAGGAATTAACGTAGTTTGACATCGAAGGAACCAATTTCAATAACCGCGTATTTATCCACCTCGTTAACAAGTTCGCTTATACACGCTATATGGAACAGCTATGAATATAAAGTAGCTTCTTGGAGGTATCTACGCAGTGCGTACTTTGGAAAATAACCACCTGATGTAGGACTTGTCCTGCGGTAATCAAAGATCACGCCTCCATCTCAAAGCTACTGATTTAAAGTCACTAGCGTTGAAAGCTTTTTCTGCCTCAAATACAACCGAGAATTCCTGTTCATACAGATAAAGGCATAAACGCTATGCAAGTAGGAAATTTTACTGTATTCTGGGGTATCAAGGAACATAGGTACTTGTTATTGCGGACTCGACCTAACAGCAGTCCTTCATCCGATAGTAACTACCATTCCATTGTGATTTAATATGACAATAGACATCAAAGTTCAATGACGGGGAGAATTTCTTCTATGACAATATGAGCTGCGTTTTGGAGGAAAACTTCCAACTGTGACAAGGATAATACTTTGCTCATTGACACCACACATGTCGTATAATCAGAGTATGCGAAACCATCTTACTCCACCACCCTTGCATACTCTTGGGCGGGGGCAGTATCGAAACTTCTCTCTTGGTCCTTATGGGATATGCAGTCAGGTGTATACTTATATACAAATATTGAACTTTGGGGGTTGGTAACCAAGTGAACGATGAGAAAGACCGAGTGAATACAGGGAATAGATTAAGCAATGAAGTATGACCTTAGAGGAGTAATTCGATTCATCAATTGTGGTACTAAAACGAAGTATTTTCCCCGCCTCATTCTCGCAACTAACGGATGAGGAATTCCGTTCCTCGTTCATCTATCAACCAGACCCTAAAGACTTATCAGTACTTAAGATGCAGCAAATTCAATCAAGCGTGACGCTTATTTGTCTGAACTCTATACCGTGAACACTCCAGTTGGCAAGATATCATTGTACGTTCTTACTACCCCTTACTCTTAAAAGTATTTTCAACTTTGGTGTTGAGGACACGAGAAGAATCTGGATGTACATCGTTTTGATTAGACCTTTCGGATGACATCAAGAAGTTGAGATTCGAGAGGTACTCAAGAATCGCGTACCAATGACACTAATGAATGGGATGCGAATAATGATGACGCACCTATGAACAACACTTGTGTACTCATTTCTTGACCATGGGAGGAGACTAAACAAGTATATGAAACGACAACACAAGACAACAGTAAACACAGTAAAAATTAAACACCATAATCTCTCTCATCCAAATCCCAAATCTCAAACCTCCCACCAAAAAAAAAAAAAAAGTAAACAAAAAGCCAAAAAATCAAATCTCTCGAGGTAAACGCTACAAGATTTCATTCAAACCAGACGAACTGAGTTCTTCAACAATCGCACTCTTCGGATGTTAAGCAGCGGTCCCGTTTGAGGGGATGTGAATACTCAGCGCGTTACCACTGAGCCATCTGGACTTTTGTTTGTTGGATGAAGGTGAGGGTGTTATTTTGATTTATATTTTTAACGAACGGTAAGCGAGGGTTGAGAAGGGAAGCCTCATCATTAGTAGCATGCTTAACTTCCTCCAATGGAGCCTGGAGCCGCACGATTATCCGAGGTGTATTGATATTGATTGAAACGTCGTTAGACATCTTTTGTAACTTATATCAATTTTACTATTGCTATATTCACTCTCAACTAAAGACTACAGATAGTCTTTTGGTCTTTTGTTTAACGTATTATTTCTGCCCAGCAACCTCAGAAGAGACAGCAGCACTAGTAGCAACAATTGCTCATGTCTCTCCGTTTCTGTTTCTATTCCTCTGCAATCATATTAGCTTAGCTTCTCTTCTCTTCTCTTCTCTTCTCTTCTCTTCTTTTACATACTTTCCCTCTACTTCCCTCCCATCTTCCACCTCCCACCTCACCCCACCTCACCTTGCCAGAAAAACCTTACAATATCAATAAGAACCTCACAATCCCACAATCCACATGCTTACCTACACTTATAACATATACATAAGACTTGATTTACAACTTTGAATCTCATTATCATCATCACTTAGATAATATACAAGAAATAAAGAAAGAAACCAAAACAACCATTCCATTTCCCCAGCCCAACTCTCAATACATATACTCAGTATAAACCCAATGATTCAATGATTTTACTTGTATAATTCCCAACTCTATAATATCAAATCAAAGGAAAAGAAAAAGGCAAAGACAAAACCAAATCTCCAAAAGCCAAACTTCTATCTATATATATATACACTTATACCTATATTTGTACTCTCTCCCTCCTCTCCCTCTCTCCACTCCTCTCTCCTTTTCTCTTCTTTTCCCTCTGATATCTTACACAAAAAAAACCCCCCCTTATTTACTCCTTCCACCTCGCTCCCTCACTCCTCAACCTCCTCAACCTCCTCAACCTCCTCAACCTCCTCAACACCCAACAATCAAAATCTTTTCCAAATCATCTATCTAGTATCTACATTTACATTTACATTTACAATCACATCCAAACCATTCAGTTATCCAATTCACAACCCCAACCACCTACAAATAAAAAAAACATACCATATATCTCCTATTATATACTACACACTACTACTATTCGTACAGTACAGACAAACAACATAACACCAGCAAATCTAATCCATCACCAACAAATCCAACCCATCCCATCCCATCCCATCCCACCGCCTCTACTCCACCCCCTCATAATAAACTCTAACCTACATTCTCCAACTTTCTATCAATCAACCACCCAATTCATTCCCTCCAAAGAATCCCCAATACAAAAACAATACAACACAAAACAATACAATACAATACAATAATACAATCTATACTCATAGACAAAAAAATAAAAATAATTCAATTCAATCTCAATCCCAATCTCAAGTAGATTCATTTATTCATTACAGTGATACATACATACATACATACATATACATTACATACCATGAAACATTTCGCTTTTCGCTGGCTGATACATGAACTCCTATCAAATGCTTTGCTCCTATAAATTCAACATCGCTCCTGTATATTTCTAAAACAAAAAAAAACAATATTGTGCTAAATCGCTCGTAGATCAAATTATATTCCTTCCTAAAATATTTTTCAAGTGGCAAGATTACTCGTAGATAAGAAAGAGATGGGCGATCATTATCGAGCCTTCTACTCCTTCGTGGCCTTGAGCCCTTCTAGATGACAGCTTTCCATATTACGAATAAGATAAGCCCCCTGATGACCAGCTCTCTCTCATCGCCCGAAGCAAGCAAGCCATCATTCAAATCATCAAGCTCCGATTCTCAAATATCCCTGAACGTGGCTTTGGTTCTCCATCCCCTCCATCCCATTTCCTCGTGAATTACCACCACCACCAGCATTAACAACACCTTGCATATTAATCCCTCCATTTGCCAAACGAAAATTGGTCGTGTTTGACATGGATGCTTCGGGGGCTCGTTGACCAACACCGGCATTAACATCCGCCAAATCAACGAATGTATCATCTTCCTCCATGTCTGCATCCCCATCTGCATCTTGATCGCTTCCAAGATCTTGCGCATCCTCTTGTAATGGTTGACTGGTTATCGTCGTGTTAAGTTGTGGCGAGTTCGAACGAGGCAATCCATCATTATTATTACTGTCAAGTGGCTTTTGTGCAACCATGCCAGGCTGCCCAGATCCGCCTCGAGCTTGCTTAACGACACTTTTCCAACGGCCAATTGCTCGTTCCACTGCCGTATCGAGATGTACGCTTCGATCCATGAGTTGGAAACCAACACCTTTATATGTTGCTCCCATTTTCCCCATTTCGGTCATAAGGCGCGAATCAACGGGTAACGGTGAAGGTGGTTGTATCCTGAACTCTCTAGGTTGTTGTAACCGACTTAATTCTTCAACTTGTAACTTTGAGTGAGCGGTCTCCTGTTGTAAAAGCTCCTTCTCCTTCTTCAACTTGGATAATTCCTCAGACTTCCGGCCAATATTACGAGCTAATTCGAGAGTCCAAAGTTCAGTCCTTTTGTTTGGAGGTAACGAGTTCCAGTGTCCAAACATTGAACGTAAGTGCTCGGAAATCCTAGCCTCCATACTTTGGGCATCTGCTTCCGCTTGCACGTGTAGTGCAGCAATGTTCTCGAGACTATGGAAAGTTTCTTGTGGAGGATATGATAGATCGTCATGTGGGGCTGTCGTAGCGATGGAGAGGGAGATGCGGTAGCGGTGAAACTCCGAGGAAAAGTGTTTCCGTAATGCTTGATATTGTAATTCATCTGGTGGCAAGATAGACCACGATGTAGAATTCGGGATAGGAGTGGACGCGTAGAGGGTCGGTGGCGGTGGTAGGCAGTGGAGGGTAAGAGCAGGGAAATCTAAGCTAAAAGGATCGTAATCAAAAACATTGGGACCTTCTATTCGTTGCCTGTGAGATACCACGTTAGATCTTCATCCAGATTTGTGGTTAACAGAAACTTACTTGGCAGCTCGAAAACCCCCTAAAAGTTCCCTTACAGCTAATTCTGCTGCTTTTGCATTATCCAAAGCTTCCATCATCTTTTGTTTCTGCTCAAAAGTCGTTTTCGCAAGCATTTGTTTGCCAACAGATCTATTTCTGCCATCTAATCTTCTAGCTCCATCTCTGGATTGATCCCCATCCCAACTTCGAGCGGTTTCACCGTTTCGTGTTTGAGGTATGTGATTCATGACACCTGTTGACTCCCACGTACCGCCATTTACAACAAAATTAGGCCTCCGGTTACCAGGGATTTGGCCTGGGATCCCCCTTGACATACACATCATATTTATAGCCGCCCCATCATCTCTCCTTAAGCTTGGAGAATCACTCCCTGCCATATCCGAATCATTATTAGGACTTCTCCTTTCCGATCCTCCAGGTGTACCTGCAGGTGTCGAGTCTTCCCTCCTCGATGTAGAATTACGTGGCTGCCGCCTTGTAATGCTTCCGCGAAGCTTCTTGATCTCATCTACGCTGTGTACACCATCTGCGACCTTTGGATTCTTCTCCTTTATGTAGAGATCGAGATGCCGACCCAGTGAAGACGATGTAAATGCTTGATGGCAGAAAGGGCAATTCTTGTCTTTCGGTGCGCCACCTCTGCCTCCGTTGACTGAAAGGTCAGCACTGGAATTAGGGGTGCCCATTTGTTCGGCCATATCGTCAATGGTTGCGCGCTGTACTTGTAGACAAGAGGATTTAGCTATCGAGTTGGTATATGTATATTTTCTTGTTTACTCCGGGGGCTTTCTCCTTGTTTTGATTGGCTTAAGTAATTTTTGAATAATATGCTCCCGAAAACAAATACTCCAGCGAAGAAAGTACAAAATACAAAAAAGAGGTGAATGTAAAGATTATAAAGGTCAAAGAAGGAGCAGTATAAATGAATCTAAGGGGTTTGCAGCTATGAATTTGTTCCTTCCTGGGTATTAGAGAATATTTCGCTAAGCAGGGATTGTTCGAGCACCCATTCCGGAACCCGATAGTTTAATTCTAGGTGCTCCGCATCCATCGGTGAAGGAGAAGAGATCTAGGGAGAATAAATATATGGCAAGATGAGATCAGAGGAAAGAAAGCTAAAAGCTAACTAACGTATTAATACAAAAATAAGAATATCTATAATAATATACGAGTATAGTTATTAGATTCAAAACAAGATCAATCAATACATGCGATATTACTATTGGTATCGATGTTGAACAAAAGAACTGGATTAAAGTTGTTAAACTTTTGAATAACTCAATAGATCAATCATACTGTACTGCTGTAGATATTGGTATCTGATCGTGAGATTTGATTGGCTACATTTGCTTATTTGGTTTCGTTGGAAGCACCACTATTGCATATTGATTATGGGGCAAATATTGGAACAACAGTAAAATTTGTGTTGTTAACTCTCTACCTGTAATCATATGAGGACATCAATCATAACTATTCCTTTAAAACGCCAAAAGAATGCTACTCTTGCCCACCCACCGATGATACTTATGAAAACCGTGAGATATGAGATATCTAAAGAATCTTTGGTAAACCGAAAAAATGCCACCAGAAATGCCACCATAAATGCCACGAAACACAACGGAGAAATCACTGCAACAATGGATCCTATGTGATGTTAGTGGAGCCATTTTTATAAAGTTTGGTTGGTGACAACTTACTCTGAAATGTTTCTGTGAGTTGTTCTGCTTATTGTTTCTCCAATCCTTTTTACGGAGCTCATAAGCCTCCACCTTTCTGGATCTTTTCTCCGCCAAGTCGACTGCTTTTCTCTTCTCAGCGGTGACACCAGCCATACCGAGGCCTCCATTTGCACGAGTAGTATTAAGAACTCTTCCACGTTCTCTCTCATTACGACGAACGACACGTTCATCTGGCTCAACTTCAGAATCGGAGTTTTCTTCAGCCTCAATTGCACGTCGTTGCCTCTCCTCTGTTGATGGATGATTGACCAGATTTTGACGGTAATATTTTTGTAATGATCGATGTCCAGCGGTGCGACCAGAAGGTAAGTGGAGCTCATAATCAGAGTAAAATGCAGCATGATTATGCTTATGGGCATGCGAGTGCCATCCGTCTTTGTTGTGGTGTGATCGAGGATCTGTGTGGGAGTGATGAGGATGCTGATGAAGTTTCTCATATTGGTGAGTTCTCTCATCAAGCGGTACTGCTGTAAGATCTGCGGAATCCAAGGAAGATTCAGAGCTGTCAGTTTCCCACCCATCACCGTTCTCCATTCCTTCGTCCCCTTCAGCATCAGTTGTAGTTGGGCGCTTAGCTCCAAGTCTAACACCGCCACTCTGTTGCTTTCCTGGTAATTCATCTTCCAAATCTGATTCATCCTCCCCATCAGAGTATGTGCTTCTAAAGTCATAATGTTCGCCAATCTCGATTTGTTCAGCCTCTGTAGCGTAACGAATTTTGCAGTGGCGCTTATCTCTCATATGGGTTTGAAGACCGAAAATTGATTGCTTGAGTTTTCCACAGCCAAGACATTCATGATCTTCGTAGATCTTCTCGTGAAGGAAAGCGATTAAGCCTTCAAGATCGACCAGGTATTGCTTCTCTGGAATGAACATGCCGTGTATACGTTCCATGTGTGCAACGTTAGCAGATGTATCAGCCGAATCTTCGTTACAGAATAAGCATCGACTTGTAGACACCTCCACGAGGGCCTTATCATCATCCTCCATAATGTCGTCCTCAGTAGCTGTGGCTGTAGCCGCAGAACCTTCAGCATCTTCAAGATTGGTCGTCTGGATACCCTTCGAAACTTCTTCGACTTGCGCATCTGCATCTGTATCTTCATCTGCTGCTCCAGTTGTCTTCATTGGTTCTCCCAATGAGAAAGTTGAGCTCATTACTGAGCTTGCGTCGTCCATATGTCCATCACCAACTATCGCTACCCTTGCCTTGTGTTTCTGACTGCTAAGATGGTTGTGGTAGGCATTTTCACTGAAATATGTTTTGGTACAAATCGTGCAAGACTTTTCGTACGCGGCCTTCGAAGCTGCGGCTGTAGAAGAAGCCTGGGCCTGTAGGACTTTCTCGCTGAAAACTTCGGAAGAGAGGGGTGGTAAAGATGTAACACGGCGCTTCAAGTTGTACCGACTATACGGATTGTCAGTATATGAAGTTAAAAGGGAGTGAACAAACATAAAACATACTGCCAATCGCCGCGCATATGTCCCCGTTGTAAATCGCTATTTCTGAACGCCACTTGACAAGTATTGCAAGTATAAGGATGTGAAGCATTAATATCTACTTGGTCAGATGGACCAGAAGCAGAACTTCTGCTGGGTGTAATAGAAGACATCTCTACTTCTCAATTGTGAAAGAAACAAATGGTTATTTGGGTTGAGGTGTTTTGGTGACGAGATGTTGTATTTATTGTAGTGAGAAAAGGTTGAATGATTTGATAAGGTTGTAGAATAATTTCCACCCCGCTTGTCTAATTTTCGGATTTTTAGACTTCGGGGTTTCCGGCAAAAGCCCTGGTACTTGGATACTTTGGATCACTGTAGAAAGATTATGAGTCAAATATAATATAATTTTCTGTTTTTGAGTGTAACCTTTGAATTGATTTCGATCACAACAAAGATGTCTAACATTGGAGTTTACAGTAAGTGAAGAAAAGAACGGGTTCTCTTATAATAGATGTTCTTCATGAAGCTTTCTTTAAAATATCGTAAAATTTGGTGGGGTTTATCTCTTGAAAATGCGATAAAATGCGATAAAATTCGAGATTATTGATATGAGTGATATGAGTGATAGTGCGTCATATCGGCGCCAAGTGAGTACAGAATGATTCAATACCGGTATCTGTTATTTTTAAATAAATAGGAAAAAACAGAATCTATTCTATCTTTTCTCTTTTCTCTTTTCTCTTTCCTCTATAATTATTAGTATTTTCTATTTAATTATAAATAAAAGAGTGTGAATACTAATATAATTCAAATTGATGACATAATAATGAGATAATATTCATCGATCGATAGTTGTTTCCTAGATCCTAGATACCGGTATGGTTATGATTAACTAAGGACGGATCTAATAACTTGATCAACATTTGTCAACAATTACAATATTGATATCACTCAGTATTTATTTGTATTACTGTTTGTTTCAACAAGTCATACTTGACACAGATTTTTCTTCAGCATCAACTCTCTTTTAGTTCACTCCCAAATGTCATGACTCGAGATACACCAAGACTTCAGGAAGACCAGAGCTTCAACGGCGAAGATGATATTCTTAAAGCCTTGTGGGCTGCCGCTCCTTTCCCATATCTTCCTCAAGATGCGCCAGACGAACTGAAGAAACTCACAATAGATGTCGAGGATCCAAAGCAAATTTATGTCATACATAATACAAGCAGGCGCCACCATTTTCAATTAATGGTAGAGAGGTAACATCTATCTACTAGTATATCTGTCGCACGAGAACTCGAGGCTGATCTATTCTTCTGTAGATACATTCGGCAACTTCGATATGGTTGCGATTCCACTATTTGCCATACCCCGACCTGTTTTACTTGTCGCAAACGCCTTTCCCTTGCCGCTTGCCGTCCAATAAGACCATACAATTCCACAAGCGCAAGAATTCTAGCTGTTCACTTGGCTAGTCAGGACAATCCCGAACGAGGTCTCTGTCGCAATCCTCTTGCAGACTCACCAGTCCAACTTAATAGGCATGTCAGGGTTACTGCACGAAGGAGCATATCTGGGCCCAAGAAAATACAAGTCAATGGAGGGGAACCCATGCGTAGGAATCTATCTAGTACAGACAATGAAGGACTGAGGTCGGATGAATTACGAATCAGCTCTGCTGCAATCGCCATTGATGGTACGAGTTCTAGGAATAATGAAGCGAACGATAAAGGCGGCCCAGCTGAGACCAGGAAATCGAAAACCACTATCTTGGAGGAAGGCACCAAAACAGATCATAAATCTTTCATTCAAAATGTGTTTGGCACGGTAGCTTTCAAAATGGTCGAATGGCTGACACCAAGAAATCTGGATGCACTAACAAAACCGACCGATGAAACTTTGGATACAGACGCTTATAGGTCATCATTTGCTCAATCAACACCAAGTGATGGCACTAACACTCCGGCACCAAAGCTAGAGGATTCGAGTGGAGTAGAGGCAGAGCTATCGAGCAGTACAAGTTTCTTACCAACATCTTCTCCTGGAATTCTCGCTGAAAGTTCCGGGGTTCCAGACAATTTGGATAAAAACGAGGGGCTTGCTGGCCATGGCATTCCAGATATGAGTACACGGAGGGAGATGAGCTCAAAATCATCTCCCGCTATACCTAGTGACACCAAGGCTGGCGTTCTATCAGGTCCAAAAATCTTACACAATGAAACTGCACATGTTACAAGTGCGAAAACTCGAAGAAGGACAGATTCATATGATGCTCATGTTTCTAAAGGAGTTTTGAACCTTTCAACCTCACCAAGAGCGGCTGGCACTGATAGTAGTCCGCCTTTGTCTCACCAATCTATCCACTCGAAGCCTAAACTGACCCGACATGCTATGATAACCAGCCCGGTTCTTCACCTACTTGAGACTGATACTTCATCGCCCACAATTCCCCTGATTGATGCCAGAATTGAGGTTCCTGTACCGGCAGAATCTGAGTCAAATCTCAAACCCGATGTGGAGGTTGGCAAAACAATCAAAAAATCCTTGGCTGAAAGTCACAAGCTCGAGTCACGCTTGCCCGATGAAAAGCCACCACAGTCCCTTTCATCGTTACCTATTGAGGTAATTAACCTGATTTGTGACATTCTGGAAAACGATAACACTTGTGAGAAGCACCAACTGCATCCCGATCACATAGAAGATGATTTGAAGAGATATCCAGTACGCAGTGTTCCTTTAGGTCGAAACATAAACTCGAGAACCGGCTATCCAAAATCAATGAAAAAGCAATGGCGTTGTTTCATTGATCAAAGTTTGTATTTTGTTCTAAGTAGACCTGGTTCTCTCATAAAGTCTTTCGCCAGTCAAGATGGACAAATCTTTGACACGCAGACTATTTGGTACTGCATGTTACGTATGACTCGAGTTGCACCGTCCATTGTATTTGACAGCCTCTGGATTGCCGCAGGCACACTTTTCAAACCTCCAAAGCAATTAGAATGGGCCAAGCAGTCTCATAATGATAGCTCAGGCCCAGACCAACCAGTATCAAAAGCCGATGCCGCTCGAATAATAAATATTTGCTTTCATGCTCTCGTAGCTGCGGCACCCCTATTGAAGGATCCAAGACAGCTAGCAAACATGTCTCGTATACGATCATATGGAGTTGCTTTGCCTGGAAGGGAATCATCTACCTCGGAATCGGCCAGATTATGTCTTCAATATGATGATGCATTTACTGATGAATTGATACTGAGATTTGCTCGTCGAGTCTTCTCTGCTGTTTCCACAAGACGCAGATTTTCTGAGTTAATCCAGCTCCAACAAGACATCAAAGGCGACGAAAAAGAACAAGAAGGTGTCTTGGAAATCATTCTCGGTACTCTCAAATACCTCGATCTTGACATACCACCTCTGCTCAGCTTCACTGGCGCCGAACGAGATTTGCACGAGAAGAGGATTCCTACTCTGATACTCGATTGGGCACGAACAGTGATGTTACAAGATTGGGACGGTAAAGCAGAAGTTCCTTCTGACGGGTCGTTCGGGGGTGCCTTGGAAACCATTGCGGCAATATGTATGACACTCCCCCGACATACCTTTGACTTTAAGCTAACAAATAAACAGACAAGAACAGAAAATCGCTACTACTGGGAGACATACATTTCCGAACCGAATATTTTTCGGATCGTCTAGATAGTGTTGCTATGCCTCTCGAGTGGCTATCTTTTCAGGCAAATAAGCGCACTGTGCATTTACTCGATTACCCATACTTGTTCAATCCATCAACACTGGTCAGCTACTTCCGAGCCATTAATTACTCGCGGATGAATCAATCGTTTGAAGAAGCAAAATCCATGTATGCCCTCGTTCGCACGCATGAGGGGCTTATTACCAATGGAGATCACAAACGTAAACTTCGGGAACGCCTTCACACAGCCACTTCAAGATACATGGCCATTGCAGTTAGCCGAGAAGATCTACTTTCAGACACCTTCGACGCGCTCTGGCGAAGAGAAGAGCGTGAATTGATGCGACCCTTAAAGGTGTCACTGGGCGGAGAACAGGGAGAGGAAGGTTTAGACATGGGTGGAGTTCAGCAAGAATTCTTTCGGATAGCAATGACAGAGGCTATTAATCCCGACTTTGGGGTTTTTACAATTGACGATACAACAAAAATGACTTGGTTTCAACCAGGATCGCCAGAGCCATTGTGGAAATTTGAACTTATCGGAACAATCATGTCTTTAGCAGTCTACAACGGCATGACTCTACCGATTACCTTCCCCAAAGCATTTTATAGAAAATTACAAGGGGAGAGCATCACAGAACTCCACCACATCTCAGATGGATGGCCTGAGCTCGCTAAAGGTCTAACAGATCTACTCGAATGGGACGAAAGCAAAGGCGCCGTCGAAGACATTTTTTGTCGGACATACGAATTCAGTCAATTTCAATTTGGAAAGCCTGTAAGCCGTGAAATGAACACCTCGTCTCAATGGCCCAAGTTCTCGGATATTAACGTGGGCGAAGATACTGAAGATTTTGGCGAGACAGAAGCACCCCTTGTCACGAATGAAAGTCGGAATAACTATGTTAGTGATTACATCAGTTGGCTGACTAACATATCTATCCAACCTCAATTCGAGGCCTTCAAGAAAGGATTTTTCGCCTGTCTCGACTCCCGATCCCTTTCCCTTTTCGACGCCGACACTCTCCAATCTCTAGTCGAAGGCGTTCAAGAAATTGACATTGTCGAAATGCAACGCGGCGCCCAGTATATTGGCTACGAGGCTGGAGATGATGTTATTGAAAGTTTTTGGTCGGTAGTCAAGGAATATGATTTGGAAAAGAAGAAAAAGTTGTTGGAATTCACGACGGCGTCGGATAGGGTTCCCATGGGTGGTATGAGAAATTTTCACCTGAGAATTATGAGGAATGGTGGTGATGATCACCATTTACCGGCTAGCTATACGTGCTTTCAGAATTTACTGCTGCCGAATTATTCGAGTAGGCAGATTTTGAAGGAGAGGTTCGATGTTGCGTTGGAGCATGCTAAGGGGTTTGGGTTCAATTGAGGGGGGGAGGGAAGGGGGTGGTGGAGAGAGGTGAGTGGGATGGGATGGGATTGTGTGTTATGTGATAGTGAGGAAAGGAGCAAGGGAGTTCATTGATTACTGCAATTGGTGGTTCGCACTATAGTTAGCGTTCATGAGATATGAATATGGATATACTCGTAGGTATCATACGATTGATATGATACGATACGATTACTTAGTTAATCAAAAAGTGCCGAAGAGAAAGGAAGGAAGGAAGGAAGGGAAGAAATGATAATGAATAAAGTATCTTGTATAGGATAGCAAGCAAGCGAGCGGGTGTTTTGCATGCATGCATGGATTTGATTGATGCTGCATAGGGTGCTTTGGTGTGGTGTGGTTTGGTTTGGTCTGGTCGGGTTAGATTGGTGGTATTGTTACAGTACACACACAACACACAGCATAGCATAGCATAGCATAGGGGGAAAATATATCTTGAGAAAAAGAAGTAGAAGCAGAAGTAGAAGTAGAAGTAGAAGTACTCGAGTTGAAGCAGAGAATACAATACATGATATTTGAAGTATACCTGGGTATTTCTCTTAAGCATTTCGTCGTTTATTAGTAATTGGTGCTTATTTTGAATGAAATGAAATTGAATGGAATGAATTGGTGGTCTTGATGTGAGAGGAGAGGAGAGGAGAGGAGAGGGGAGTAGAAAAGAGGTGATTGTGTGGGATGGGGATGTTGGGGGGATGTTGGGGGGATGTTAGAGGGGGAGTTGAATAGAAAAATGGATAGGAAGATGAAGAGCAGGGGTTTGGAGGGGGTGTTAGGATGGGATGTTGGGGGAAAGGAAAGGGAAGGGGAAAGGGGAAGCCTGGCGAGGATGGGGAAGATTAAAAGAATGGAAGATTGGAAGGAATGCAAAGGGGGAGGGAGAGAGGGAAATATTAGATAAAAAAGCAGAGGCGGGGGAGGATCAATTCAAATCGAGATAGAGTTTATAGCTAGGAAATACTCGTATATATATGAGATAGATATATATGAAAAGCAGAGATCTTTGAGGGATCAAATTGGTGATTGTTTGTAGCAATGATAAATGAAAGATGACAGGTGTATTAGTAGATGGAGAATAACGTATAGAATGCCTACTCGAGTAGAATAGGTAAGGTATGTAAGAGAGTGGGAATTCTTTAGAGGATATACGAGTAATTATTCTGATGGGTTGGATGGATGGATGTATTGTATGGATTGTGTGTATTGTATATACCTATGTATATATCTTTGCGGGTTTGGGATGCAATGAAATACCCAGATATTGAGAGTATGGAATTCAAAACCCAATACAGAGTACAATGCTTCGAGAGTGGTAGAGATTAGAGAACCCACTTTGTTGTACTGTAAGAGCATCTGATATTTGATTCGATACTATCTCAAAGAAAGTCCCTCCAATGTCTCGTGTCATGCAAACAGATGTGTTCCCCCCCCTCTCCTTCCCTGTCCATTTGCTTCGGCTGTCTGCAGGTTGTGGATAGGGGGTGGGGTGGGGTAAGGTACTGTAAGGATAAAGATTGCGGCAAAGGATTCCGAACCTAGTCAGTTGGCTGAACTATTTATTGGTTGTTTGGGTTTGCCAATCCTATTATACCAACAGTTTTAAATATTGGGAGAAGGGGATACTTATATGAGTATCGTATCGCTTAATGCGAAACCTGGTGACAAGGAAACCAATATAGGCTATCTACCTACCCAGCCCTTATGGAAATTTACAGCAAATGATAAACGAACAGGATTCCCGAGAGTATGGTTTGGTGGATCTTTTGGGCGGGCTTGGTGTTTGGCGTTGTTGGAATTTGGTAATGGTAAGGGCAATGGCTGTGGATGGATGGATATCGGGTTTTGATAGATGCATGTATGTATGCGGGATGCGGGATGTCACATATATGATTTGAATGATATTGAGATCAGGCTTTTTAGTATAATGTCAGGGGGGACTGGCTGCTTTGTATTCGAGTAGATGTTTCTTTTTGATGATTTGCAATGCTAAGTTGTTGTGGTATTGATAGGTTGACTTCTGTCGAGCTCAATGAGGATTGAGGATATTTTCATGTATATTCGTTTCTTGCTATCAACTTATCGAAGTAGGTAAATAACATGTCACGCATGTATAATACATGAAATGTGGAATAGAACCCATCTTTACCCCAGACTTTCGGGCCAAAGAGCTAGTGCCAATGATTGGTCGATCTCACGAGGTGCAGACACACAGACTTGCAAACATAACGCATGACTTTCACGTGATTATTGTGTTTTCTTACCGTCTTCCGAATCTAGAGTATGACCCGTTGAATGTCTCATTAAGAGGCAACGCTCACTGCAACGCTTCAAAAACATCGTTTCAACGCCACCGAATACAAACGAGAACCTCAAAGAAGATAGACGAGGAAGAAAGAGCAGGACCGAATAAATGATCTATCACAGACTATTCATCAGGAACTGTTTTTACCATAAGTCTGGATATCTATTCCCAACTTCCTTGTCACGTTGATGGCCATCTATTCGTGGAAATGGACCCAAATACTTTTAGTATACAAGTGACAAACGGAGGCTAAAGCCAATCTCGTCAAATTACCATGTCGGCTTATTCCTTCCTGGGAATACGGGGTAGCTCCTCCGCAAAAACTTCTATGTTGGAATCACTTCTTCAAATCAAAGACTTTGATACTTCTTAGGTTTATTTTGTTAATCATCATCAGCCAGTGGACGATTCTCTAGGTATGGCATAAGGTTCATAGCCGCAACGTCGAAAGGATCCTTAATCCGAGACCCTTATAGGTTGTACCCCCAAAGGTCTGAAAATGCATGGAGTACTTGCATCATGTACGACCCCGGACCCACAAGCTGTATGGTATCCTTCATTGGCGAAGAAGATCACACCAGGAATGCCTGCCCGAAAATCCGGGGTTGGAGTGCGGGTTGGTTCCAAATGTCATTTACCACTCCGCACTTTGGACCAAGCATGCTTATTATGGCTGCACGAGGTGAGAAGGCCAGCCTTCCATTGACAGGGGTTGGAAAAGCTTCGTTACAATACATAAGTGAAGCATATCTGGTTGAAAACCTCATTCCTCTCTCAAAATAGTAGATCCCTTTTAATTGGCATAATTAGTCGTTTTTCATCTCGCATAACATTAGGAGTCATGGCGGAGAAGACGGGTACCCATTTCGAGGACGTTGAGTTACCACATACTCAAGGTGACGATGAGGTAAGATTGTCAAATTCTAGATTCTGGAACACCTCAGAGATCAACTCTAACCTCAATTGACTGGGCAGAAACATGCCGAAGTTGGAGCCAGAGTCATTCTAGGACATGAAGCATTCAACGAAGCTATGCTCAAGGAGCCTCCAAAGGCTTTCACGTGGTCGACCACCCAGCTCTACACAGCTTGCTTCATCGGATTCTTTTGTGCTACAATGAATGGCTACGATGGATCCCTCATCAACAATTTACTGGTCAACCCTTGGTTCTTAGATTTCTATCATGGCGAAAATGCAGGAATATGGGCCGGTATTGTCACTTCAATGTACCAAATTGGTGGTGTGGTTTCATTGCCATTCGTCGGACCTGCAGCAGATACATTCGGACGACGATTTGGAATGTGGCTCGGATGTCTCTGCATTATTCTTGGCACCATCGTTCAAGGAGTTGCTACAAGAGATGCAGGTGTAAGACAATTCATGGGTGGTCGTTTCTTACTAGGTTTTGGTGTCAATATCGCATCTGCAGCCGGTCCCATGTATGTTGTGGAGGTTTCCCACCCTGCCTATCGTGGTGTAGTGACAGCTATTTTCAATTGTTTCTGGTAAAGTTCAATATGATATTATGAACACCTGACCAAACTTTGTCTAATTGTATTTAGGTTCACTGGGTCAATCATTGCCAGCGGTGTAGCCCGTGGAGCAGACAACATCGGAGGGGATGAATCATGGAGATTAATCATCTGGGTCCAATTGATGTTCTCCAGTATTATCTTCGTCTCTGCGTACTTCCTGCCCGAGTCTCCAAGATGGCTTTATGTTAATAACAAACGCGATCAATCCAAGAAGATGCTTACCAAGTACCACGGAGAAGGAAATCCGGACAGCGAATGGGTAAAGTTGCAATTGAACGAATACGAAGAACTTTTGGAGATGGATGGTGCCGATAAACGTTGGTGGGATTACAGAGCGCTCTTCAAGAACCGATCGACTTGTTACCGTCTTTTCTGTAATGTTAGTATATCGATCTTTGGACAATGGGCTGGAAATGGTATGTATCTTATGATCCTCTACCCAACAACAGTCTCGCTAACCGAATTCAGCTGTCTTGTCATATTTCATGGGAAAGGTTTTACAAACTATCGGTATTGCAAGTCATGTTGGCCAAGCAAATGTCATTCTCATCAACAATTGTCAACAATTCTGCTGGGCGCTCTTTGGTGCAGCAATGGTTGATCGTGTCGGACGTCGTCCTCTTCTTCTCTTCTCTAACGTTGGTATGTTATTCTGCACCCTTTATTACTACCAAAAACTTTGCTAATAGTGATTAAAACAGGATGCTGCGTAATCTGGCTCGCAATGACCATCTCCGCCGCCCTCTACCAACAATCGATCCCCGACCCCACCAATCCCGATTCCATCGGTACCAACCACGCTGCAGGCACCGCATCCTTAGCCTTCATCTTCATCTTCGGAGCAGTCTACTCCGTCGGTTTCACTCCCCTCCAAGCACTCTACCCCGTCGAAGTTCTCTCCTTCGAAATGCGTGCCAAAGGAATGGGATTCTCGGGTTTCTCCGTCGCAGCCGCAGGTCTCCTCAATCAATTTGCATGGCCTGTCTCAATGCAAAAGATAGGTTGGAAAACGTACATCATCTTTACGGTTTGGTGCGCGATTCAAGCAACTACGGTTTATTTCTTCATTCCGGAAACCAGAAATCGTACGCTGGAGGAATTGGATGAGATTTTTACTAGTCCAAATCCAGTCAAGACGTCGATTGCGAGAAAGAGAATTGGTTTGGATGCTTATGGAGAGGTTGTTAATATCCAGGACGTTTGATTTTTTTTGATGGTCACTTTGGATGGGATGATACTTGAGTTCGCGGTTATTGTAAGTGCATTCGATAAATCGAATACCGTCATGTTTTTTTCTGGGCAAGGTTTCTAATTTCTTGGCTGCTGAATATGTTGTGTGGGTGTAGGTGTGGATTGAGATTTATTAGTATTATACCTTTGATATTAACGTCTGATCTTTGGAAATAGAGAGAACTATATCTACGGATCGTGTACAGGCCTATGTATATGATCTTATAATCAATATATTTTATATAATAGTGTAGTATATTGTGTACTCTCTCTCTCAATACTGTATCGCTTAGTATCTATAGTAGTACTCTAGTAAGTATAGATCTAGTAGGTGTATAGTCTAATTATTTGAGTATTCGCTACATCTATTCTATATATTCGTTCCTTATATATACCCCTTAGGGATTCACTTTCATTTCAAACTCTACTCGTATCTCAATCTATTCACATAAACTCTACTTACTATATTATACCTAATCACTAATAGTTGCTATACTTTATCTATCTCTCTCGTTATTATATATATATATCTATCTCTATTCACTCTTTACATCCTCAATACCTTAATAGTATTTTAATATCTTAATTTAATTACTCGCTATACTCATTCACTCCCCTCTTTCTCTATATATATTCTTATTTATTTCAATCTCTATCTCAATCTAAATATCCTCTATTATCAGTAGAACTCACTATATATTATCTCATTATTCACTCTCATCAATTATCCTCTTCTACCCCTCACTATATATTCCCTTACTATATATTCCCTTATTACAAATATACTATATACTAAACTTATAAATCTATCTATCTATTCATTTATTCTTTTAGTTATTTATTCTCTCACTATTTATCTATTCAGCTTAATCATTCACTATTCAGTTCAACTATCCTCCATTCACTATACCCCAAACTCATATACTAAAATCATTCATTCACTAATTACCATTCACTATTCACTATTAACTAATCACAACTCACAACTCGCAATTCATATACCGTAATACTTATACTCGTATAAGTATACAGAATCATTATTTATATATATCTATATCTATTCACCACTCTATACATTATCTCCCCATTCACTTCCCCTTCACCTCTCTCATCATCATCACCCTATACACCTCCTTAATCATTCACCTCCCCATTCACCTTCTCATACACCATCCCTTCACCTCCCTATCCCCCTTTTTCTATTCATAACCCCCCCCCCCCCCTCAATTATTCACCACCTCTCTATTTATCCACCACCCCCTTCACCACCACTCCCTTCACCCCTCTCTATTCACCACCTCCCAAATCACCTCCCTATTTATTCACCACCACTCTCTTCATCACTCTCTTCACCTCTCTATCCACCCCCTTCACCACACTATCTTCCTATTCACCTTATCCACCTCCCATACACTACCCTATTCATCACCCCCTTTACCATACCTAACTAATTAGCCGAACAATTAGCCGAACAATTCACCACGGGTCACTAACTCACTCATTTATACAATAATTCATACTTCCCCTTCCCTTTCCCCTTTAATTCAATCCCCTTCCATTCCTCTCCCTCCCCCTCTCCATCCCCTCTCCATTCCCTCTCCATTCCCTATTTCTTTCATTTCCGCCTATACCCCTCTTTCCAATTAAATTTATATATCACTATTAACATACATATAATATTTAATTTTTTATTATAGATATAGATATAGATATGGCTCACTACCTACCTACCACTCACTTACAAACTTAACTATCTACCAACAACCAAATAACTATATCATACCTCAATTTCATCTCAATTCAATTCATATCATAACTACCACTTCCCTTCCCTTTCCTTTCCTCCCTTCCCTCCCTCCCTTTTCCTCCTTTCCCTCCCGTTTTGTTCGAAGAAATCAATGCTATTGCTACTAGTAACCCATCCATCCATTCCATTCATTCCATCCGCTCTTTCTCACTTCCAAATTCCAAATTCCAACTTCCAACTTCCAATCAAACCTTCATTCACGTTAAGCTCACAGAGGAAACTACCCCACCCCCTTATTTAAACCACACCCTAATACGCAGCACTCTGCCTATAAAAATCCGCCGGATTTGACGCACCACCCGTCGGCGCACTAGGAGCATTACTATTACCCAAATCCTGATTACTATCACTACTATCGGGTCGTTGATACGCTTTATATTGACCCTGACCTTGACCTTGACTTGGCAAAGTAGTTCTAGAATCCGTCAAAGCTATGTATGGCGAGTCTTGAATCGGGCTTGGGAATTGATTTGGTGGAGGTGGAGGTTCGTATGATGGTTGCGGAGGTTGAGATGGTTGTTGAGGTGGCTTGTAAGCATTGTACTGGTGTGAGGGTTGAGCGGTGGCGGGGGTGGCGGTGTATGGATCGGTTTCGGCGTATGCAGTATATGCGTGAGGGTTTTGTTGTTGAACTGGGGAATCGTAGATAGATGTCGCTAGTTCTTGTGGATTGGAATATGTGCTTTGTGGGCGGTGACCTGTTTGTGGCTGTTGGTTTGGGTACTGGGTTGGGGGAGGACTATTGGTTTGGAGTAGAGGAGGATTTGAGCCTGATGGGATTCGAGGAGTAGGGTCTCTCTGCGGGTATGGTGGTTGGCTCTCCGACTGTGGAGGCTGTTGACCTGGATACGGCTGATGACCGTCGGATTGTGGGGGTTGTTGGCCTGGATATGGTTGACGTCCATCGACTTGTGGAGGTTGTTGACCAGGAGCAAGAACGTAAAAAGGGGCCGGTCCATTACGTGGAGGAGCATAACCGATGGGTGGAGATGGTTGTTGTTGGTATGGCGGCTCTGTATAAAGTTAGTATCCAAAAAATTGCCAATGCAAGCAAGAGATTTCACTAACCTTGTTGCTGAGAAGGTGTGTAGTATCTTTGAGGTTCTTGTTGTGGTCTTGCGGCCTGTGGAGGATATCCATAACCTTGTGGACCTTGTGGTGCTTGCCCAGGTCGACCATATTGGTAAGGCTGTGCCTGGGTCATAGAGGCATCTAACAAGTTCTCATAATCACGACATGATTTGATGAACCTCTCATTCAGTTGAGTAAAGTCATCTGACAACTGTTAGTATGCTGACCCCAAGCCCGATTGAATGATTATGAAAGTTACCTTTTCTCTGAGAGTATTTTCCAATAAGTTCAATAAGTTTTGGCCTGATTGCGAGAGTAGAATGGTAAAGTTTCTATGGATATTAGCATATGACAAAAAATAAAGATACTGCAACCTACTGTGATCTCCTCATTATCCCGAGCATCTAATTGAGATGACGAAGTACTCAATAATGTAAGTAACTTCTCTACATTCTTGATCTCCGCAAAAACTTCGGCTTCCATTTGCGCTTCTCGTTGTAATTCTTCCGGTGTAGCATCCACCAGCTTCTCGACATAATTCAAAGGGAAAATGCCAGTCTTGCCTCGTATGGAGCCCCTCCACCAATCTTTATATACTGACCCTACAACTGCAATAATATCTCCCTTTCGGAACTGTAACTCATCCACGTCCGTAGCTTGGAAATCGTAAAGTGCTCTAACTCTCGAGACAGTAGCGGCTGTAGTGCCAGATGGTACTTGTGGCTGTGCAGCTTGTTCCGATTGTGCGGGCCCTGCGGATGAAGTGGATGTCTGGGCAGGTTTTGGTTGACTGCTTTTATCCTGAATAGATAATTTCAATGCCATCTGTAATTCTTCTTCTTCCTTCTGACGATCCAAATCCGTGAGTCGACTCTTTGATGGTGCGGAAGGTGGGTGTAAGTTGGGATTCTGGCTCTTCAATCGGTGGTATTGATCATTCATAATTCCCAAGTCAGGGTCTTTAAACATTCCTGCCCACTCTGCCATTCGTTCAAGAATCTTTGCCTTTACTTGCTGATGCGTGTTTCTATCGTTCGCTAGTCTCAACATTGCATCCGTAAATGCTCTTGAAGCCAACTCTCTGTGTATTTTCGCTCCGCAATTTTGGCTCAAAGCATTGGCAAGCTATGTAACGATTGTCAGAGTTTGTAAAAGCGACTGCGACCTATACCGTAACCAACCTCTAAAGTATATAATTGGACGTTGGCATTTCGATGCGCCAGCCTCTTTATCATGCTTGCGACAGCATCTTTGGCACCACTGTCTTCTCCGGCTACCTTATCGCATACATCCATTATATATTCCCAATTTTCCGAGGTGAGATTCTCGTCGGTCGCCTTGGCTATAGAGTCCATAAGTTAGCATCATGTTCAAGGCGTCATTTCACGGCGATCAGAAAATTGAATGAGTTCATAGGCAGCGACTTACCGACGACCTCGTCAAAGGCATTTTGTTGTGCACGAAACATTGTAAGTAGATTCCAATATTATGTGACTCTTTCAAGAAATAATAAATGTAAATCTGGTGGAAATTCTGTGATAGCTCTCAAGATGAGTGAGAGATATTGAGTTGTAAATGAACTACTGGGTCACTCTGTGCTCCTACAAAGCGATGGATGGATAAGCTCAAGCTTTCCCAAACCCCCGCTAAATTGATTTAGAAATCCATACCTAATGCGAGTAAGCGGATATCACGAGCATATCAACATCACATCAATCATTGTATTGAAGAACTTGATACTAAATATAGAATTGTTTGTATAACTTCATTTTAAGTGAATGACCATATAAATAATTGAGTTGATAGATTGATTTAATCTTTGAGAACATAGCTAATTATATATTTAGCCACGAATTCCATGTAAACCATTAACAATGCACGAGTGTACCTAACATTCATATCTAATCACAATATCATTGCTTCGACTCAGGTATACATATATTCATAGGGGTATTCAAAGTTTTGGATCAGCATCCGAATTTTGATATTTAACCCGATCCTAACATCTACTTGCCTAAAAGCAAGAGCTAATTTCTTGTTTGTACATATAAACAATTGCATGCCTTCTCTCTGAACGTGTAGCAGATTTTGACATCAAAAAGTTGAAGAGTCCCATACCATCAAGGGAAAACCACAAGAGACAACCAGACGCTATGCTTCCAACGAATTAATACCTTTCCCAATACCACAAGCTTCCTTCCAGATATGAAACAGCGCCTATACTCCATCGTTATGTGCATAAAAAGAAAATCCCGAGATGATATTTGCTACAGCAGCCGTGTTCTTGTGCTACCACATCTCATTGTCCTCGGTCGCTTGATCATGTGGCGACTGGGTTTGCCCATATTCATAGTATTTCTGATCGTTATAACCATTCTCACTATTGTTTTGGCCCGTACGAGATTCTGGCCGACTATGCTCCTGCTCAGAATCTCCTCCTTGATGATCATAATCATATATCTGAGAGTCGTCGACATAATTGACACCCTCCGCAGAATGGTTGGGATTCTGGGATTGCTCAGCATACTGTGTGATGCCCTATAAGATATTAATCGGGGTTGTTCATAATCTTGTCAGAGAAAGTCAAGGAAGTCATACCTGGTGGTAATCGTATCGATATTGGTCCCCACCTTCTTGCTGCTGCTGTTGTTGTCTCAACTGTTCTTGTTGCTCTCGGTATTGTTGTTCTTGCTCTTTTAGCTTCCTCTCCGCCTCTGCTTTCTTCTGCTGCACAGACTGAGGTACTTGCATATGTGGATGCATCTGCTGAACTTTGGCCAAGTATGAATACATGAAGTTACTAAGTAGAACCTGACTGTATAATGCCCGTTTAGGATTCGCCAACTTGATGTGGGCCATGCGATAGATTGCCCTTTCTTCCATTATTGAGAATCTTGTCCAATTGTAGTCAATGTCTGGTTTCAAGACGCGATGCGGAGGTTCCGGTGAAAGTGTACGAAGGGAGCTTCCCTTTTTGCCCCCCGAATCCCGATCGACTTTCTTCTTTCCACCGCCAAAAAGCGACGAAAAGATGCCGTCCTTCTCCCTTTTAGGTTCTCCTCCAGCCTTACGGGTAATTTCTTTCTTTCGTTCACTGTCGAGTTTACTATCAACATTATCTCTCTCGACTAAGAAGCTCTCACGGCCTCTCGCGGTTGTCTCCATGGTGGACTGTAACACATCCAAACGAGCATTGTCGTGCATTTTCTCTGATGAAACCTTCGACTTGCTCTTGTCGTCCTTCTTCTTATCCTTCTTATCCTTCTCGTCACTCCCTTTAAACCAGCCCCAGCTAGTCTTCCGGGGTCCAGAACTTTCTTCCTCTCTTTCCTTTTTGGTTTTCTTGTCAATTTTCTTATCGTCGAGGGTCGGAATGTGAGTGAGAGCATCGGTTTTTACAGAATTAACAGGTAGTGAAGAAGGCTGCTGATGTTGCTGATGATGCATGTCACTTGCTATAGATGTCCGTGGAAGGGCTGCAACACTGGACGAGGCCTGACGCTCCAGTACCGGACGCTTACTTGATCTAGCTGGAGGTTCTGGGATGACTTGAGAAATGGCTTGGGGGTTCGCTTGAGGGTTCGCTTGAGGGCTGGATTGTTTTTGTGAAGCTTGGGTGATCTGCGAAGAAGTCCTCTCAGGATACTGGAAAGACTGCTTGTCCGTTTGTGGTTCTGAGATTTCTTCCGGCGGAGGTGGTGTCTCTACTATACGTGGGACCGGAGCATCCGTCCGAGGATGGCTGGCGCTTCTTGATCGAGTGGCATCATGAGTAGGCTGAGAAGGCTGTCGACTTGGCTTCGACGGCAATTCTGTGGTTGGTATGGAAGCTGAAGAATCAGATCGTGTAGACACCTCATGGGTAATGTTATCCGGAATTGATGGAACTGGTGGGGCGTGATCTATGTTCTGCATACGTCGTGCACTCCTGTTGGGTCTAGAAAAATTATCCGTGTTACCTGAGGGTTCCGATTGGGTAGGTGTAAGAGGATAGCCAGCAGATGAATGTCCATCAATCGGCGAAGCCGTTGGTGATTCCTCTCCATCTGTATCAGCTCGGATAGAGCCATTTCTTTTCGAGAAAGGTACTCGCTCTCCTTTTCTCAAGCTTCCCCTCCTATAAGTAGTGCGTGTAGACCTCCTTAGACCAATTCCGGGTGCCTGTGGCAAGATAGGTATATCTTCGCCTTGGGCACCTTCGCCTCTGCTTCCCGTATCGAGACTCAATTTCTGCATTGCTTTTGAAGGATCCCTGACCAGCTCATCCAGTTCTTGGAGATCCGAGATCCTTAAATCGGGTATGTGTTGTGATGATAGAGACTTCTTCCTCTCCAAATGTTCCGCCCCATCTTTATATCCCACAGCGGCTCTGCCACCCGAATTATCAATCTGTCTTGACAGCATAGATTTCTTCCTCCTTAATCCTGCTCCGGGTCCACTTTGTTCGACGCCATTAGGTGCTAATGAAGTCTGATCTCCGGATCGTCGTTTTATTGATTGAACGCGGTTCTCCAGAAACGTTTTGAATTCCATGGGTGCAAGCTCGGGATGAACTCTGGCAGGTACCCAGAAAAGTCGCGATGGGTCGTCCTCGTCGTCATCTCCTGTTGGAGCTGCTGTGGGCATTAAAGATACACCCTGGAAGGATGGCAGATCCGGATCACTGGTATTGCCCACATCCATAGACATCCGCCGCAACGCTTGTAGATTACTTAGCTCTTGTGCGACAGCAGCTGGGCCGGATTCATAGTCGATATCGTTCAGTGGAAATTCTGCATTTGCTGTACCTCCTGCATTAGGGTCACGTAGGGACAAAGATGGTGATGTAGGATTTCCATCTCCAAATGTGGGACTCCTGGGACTTTGCATAATCGCTGGTGAAGTATGTGCCTTGTGATTTCCATTTGTTAAGAGTGATGGTCTCGGTCTAATACTATTATTGCTGTCGTGATATGAATTTGTTGTTTCTTCGGCAGACTCATTTGAAGAGGAAGGCATAAAGCTAAGAGGTCGTGAATCGTGCTTTGAATAGTCATCATCTCCATACATATCTCCAATAGCCTCTGTAACGTGGTGATTGGGATCATTTATCGAAATTCGGGCATCATGTCCACGTCTAGGTACAAAACTTCCTCCAAGTTCTCGAGGTCTCGCAGAGGTCTATTGAAGCAGAAAGAGGTCAGTAAAGATTATTGAAATGGTCCTATTGAATAGGAAATTCTATATAAAAGTCAAAGTGTTATACGAGTTGGCCAAGAGAGTGAATCGACATAGAGCCAACTTGGGGTGTCCAACAAGACAAGCATGAAGACTTTGGGCAAGACCATTGGCAAAAGACTTTCTCTAATTCTGCCTTTTGCCCTCAACATGGCGTCGCACAATGCAATAACTATCCATAAGAAGTGTGCATACCTTCATCGGGAGTTGTGGTGCGGATCTTCCAAGAATGTTCCCCTTGCTGCGATAGAAGAACTAGCACCTAATGGAATCACTGATAATACCGGCGATCTCATCTGGAGTGGGAGGGATTTAGTGTTGCAAGACTGATAGGATTAAAGAACTTGGTAAAAATACATCAGCGAGCATATAAAAAGGAAGTATGTATATCAAATAGGTGAAAATGAGAATGAGAGTCAGTATGAAAGAGAGTATGAGTATCGCGATGGCATAGTGTTGTTGTATGCAGTAAATCAGGAATTTGGGGTTGGGGATTACTGGCTATAAGTCAATAATTATTAGGAAGGATCTCAATTAATTCAAGTTGTGCAATTGGCACACTGAATGGATTGGGGGGGGGGGAGGATTGAATTGGCTTTTCTGGGTCATGTTTGGCCCACCGGATTGGTAGCTTTTGTTAATCAGCTAAGAGAGAAATCGAATTATAAACCCTGTGAAGAACAACAGAAGAATAACGCATTGGAAGCAATTAATCGAACCTTGACAATAGAATTAATAAACTAAGTCTAATAAAGCATCCACTCATCGAAGAAGATATCATATAGGGGATATTGCCGAATAAAGGAAAATGATTGAAAGATGTGTGGATGGATGTACATTGTCTCTGTCCAGTGTATACCCATAGATGTAAGGATACTGTCTAGTGTGCAACCAACAATTGCACTGTTTATATGACTATCTAGACTCGTATATAGTACAGTGATAGGTAGGAGATATCTATCATCAGCTACTAGGTATGCTTCATGTTTTACCAAGTACTCGAGTATATCACAAGACTTTTTACAACTTTAGGGATGGATTTGGCATCTGACTACTATATCTCTATTTTTGATTAACTCTTTAATTCATATCAGCGCTTAAAGTCATCCTTCGACTCTACTATATATACCTAATTTTTTTGACTAGAGAATTTTCTTACAAAAATATTTCTCTTTTGATTCGTTGATTAAATAATTTATTTAGACATTTAGATCTATTGTTGTTGTTTCTTCTTTTTCGAGCCAGTAAAGCTTGATTTTGGAAAGAAAGGGTACACTCACTCACCCATTGAATCGAGTAGACAAGCCCAGTTGAAATCTGCATCTTTTCCTGATAAACCAACGCTGGCATATCCTCTTCTTCAGAGTCATTCACATCGGAAGATAGTTCTTCCAAGCCATCTTCTTCCAATTGCCCATCCTCGCCATCTTTATTAAATAACAGGCACATTTGCCTTCTCGACTCTATTTGGTGTGCCATCATGGCTAGACCTTCTATGTCGTCTCTCAGAAGGTACACTCGAATCTGATGCTTGTCAAGTGAGTCTAGCGGAATCTATCCTTGTGTAGAGGATGCTTCTTTGACTTCGAGAAGTCGCTATGGAATGAAAGTTTTTCTTTTCAGAAGGTTACCTATTTGCAGGGAGCTCACCTTTTTCAGCAGGTCCTTCTTCGGGAAGACCGGCCTTCAGGTAGCTGCACCAAACAAGGAGTAGATGTCCATTGAACCACAACGCTCTACACTGATCTGCAAGCCTTTCAGACTGTTACCTTGTTTCCAGCTACCTTTATAGTTGCATGAGTGTCTTTCATAAAGTCTTGTTATATAACTAGATTATAATGATTGTTTTCTGTAGTAAGAATTGGACCATCACATCACTATGTGTTTGCACTGTCGTTGTGTTATTCTTTACCCGTGTAGTTCGCTACTAGTTTCCAAGGGGTTGGACAGTAAATGTCGTTCATTAGATATTATCCATTTCTGTTCTGATTCATGGCCTTCACACATTCATATATTGCTACTATTACTATACACATCAAGGAAGCGAGTAGTAAAACCCAACCCCTATTCGGAGTTATAGAACGAGCTCTTTGCCTGTAGTAGAGGATAATTTTACTACCAATGGGTCATCCCATTCATATTGATCACTTTATTTCATATCCAAAGCAGTTGTGGCCCGCCGTCTTGTCTCCCGAGAAGTGAGCAGTAAGAATTGTCACTTTTCGGTTCCTAAATTCATAATCAAAATGATTCATTTCTTAGCCATATTCTTTCCAGTTAGACTTTCATTTGATCGTATGATCAATAGAAAGAGCTGTGATGTGTTACTTGAGGTGTTTCTTGGAAGGACCTCAAGATACACCTCAATTTGGCGAAATCATACGAAATCATACGGAATCTCTATCTTTCCAGAAACAGAACTACCTCTACCTCTCCAGATACAAGACAGCTGATAAAGTCAGATAGATTAGATCCAGTTTGAAATAATGGAAAATACTATTTTGATGAAAATTCTTAGATACAGCATCTAGAGCCAGCAAATCATAAATTCATTGCTATACATCACTGATCAAACTAGAAAGACAATGAATGAATGATTGCGATGATGCCAATTTTACTATAATTCGCTCACTTGGAATCCATTATATAGATAAATGCGGCTACCGGTGCAAACTTCGCTCCTTCTTGATATACTAATAACTTGTTTTGAATCCGATGCCAGAAAAGAGCAGAAAATTGCAGTAGGCTTGCTGCCACTTTTCACGCTGCCAGGACTCTCTGCCGGTGTGATCGTGAACTTCGCTGCCGCAACACCAAACTCGACGTGGACCTGTAAGTTACTCACAACTCCTTTTGTTTCTTTTTTGATATTCTAATACCGGTAACTGGCTCTGAAAAAAAAAAAAAACTCGCTATCGGTTCTCTCGCTACCAGTGCTCTCTCCGCTGCTGGTGCTGAAGCTGCCTTTGCTGATTTGATGGTTTCTAAGGATGTAAGGATGAAGGATGTATATTATTTGGACGAGATTGATTATAAATAACTTTTGTTATGAAGAATGAACATAGTAGTCTTGTAGATTTTCTTTTGGCTAAAGACCAGAACAAGCAGATCCGGCCTACCGGAAGATCTTCGGCTTTCCATTTTTAATACTGACTTGACCCCGGTTCCAAAACATCTAAATTGGTTTCGGGACTGCGGCCGCTGGTACCTCTGCCGCAATTTTTAAAAATTGTCTTGCCCCGCAGTCTTCAATCTTCAATCTTTCAATCCACAACAACCTCTTCAAATTCCCGAAAACTTTCCCCAGAAGACAAAACACCAAACCATTTAAGACATATTAAGATCTTGGATATATCTAGTCAACATGTCGGCCAATGATATCTATCAAACTCCATTGACTTCGCGTTATGCAAGTAAGTACTCGATCTACCCCCCTCAATCTAGCTCCCCTGCAGTCAGAAAGTGAGATTTTTCCCACAGCTTGGTGCATTGGAAACATCCGATACATTGAGCTCACTTGATACATTAAACCATTTATTACCATGGAATAATCTGGCATATCAGATTTGTTGGGAATAATAAATCACTTTAAACATTGATAACGCAAACACGCTCAACCATTTTCAAAAATTCACTGCTAATCATTCTTCCCTTGCAGGCAACGAGATGAAGGAGATCTTCTCTGCTCGCAACCGTGCTACAACATGGAGAACTCTTTGGATCGATCTTGCAGAGGCAGAGAAGGAGTTGGGCTTGGATATCAGTGCTGAGGGTATTCAACAAATGAAGGACAACCGAGTCATGACGGACGAGGACTTTGAGGTAGCTGCAGAGGAAGAGAAGAAGCGTCGTCATGATGTGTAAGTTCCTCACATCTGAGGTTCCTCACTTTCAGAATTGTACTTGCTAATCCTTTGTTCTCAGTATGGCACATGTTCATGCATTTGGCCAAGTTGCTCCAAAGGCTGCTGGTATCATTCATTATGGTGCCACCTCATGCTACTGCACCGATAATGCCGATCTCATCTTCCAACGTGATGCTCTTGACGTGGTCCTGCCAAAGTTGGCTACCGTTGTCCACAAATTGGCTCAATTTGCTCTTGAGTTCAAGGATTTGCCTACCTTGGGCTACACTCATTTCCAGCCTGCCCAATTGATCACTGTTGGTCGACGTGCCTGTCAATGGGTTCAAGATCTCCTCATGGATTTGGAAGACATCAAGAGAGTCAGAGCCGATATCCGTAAGTCTTCACTATGTTTCTCGCACTAAAGCATGATCAAATTTCAAGCTTCTCAGATCATCTACTAATACTTTTTAACTTCAGGTTATCGTGGTGCTCAAGGCACAACTGGTACACAAGCAAGCTTCATGGAGATCTTCAAGGGTGATGGTGCCAAGATTGACCGACTCAACGAAATCCTTTGTGAGAAGGCCGGATTCCCAAGCTGTTACGCCATCAGCACACAAACTTATTCCCGCAAGGTTGATCTTAGAATCGCCAATGCTCTCTCCAGCTTTGGTGCTACTGCCCAGAGAATCGCAGGTGATATCCGTCATCTCGCCAACTTGAAGGAGTTGGAAGAGCCATTTGAGAAGGATCAAATCGGTTCATCTGCAATGGCTTACAAGCGCAATCCAATGCGATCCGAGCGAATTGCATCTCTTGGTCGTCATCTTGCCAACCTCAACAAGAATGCCAGTGATACCTACGCTGCTCAATGGTTCGAGCGAACCCTCGATGACTCTGCCATCCGCCGCATCACCATCCCTGAGATGTTCCTCTCAGCAGACGCCGTCTGTATGGCTTTGGACAACGTCGTCTCTGGCTTCGTAATTTACCCAAACCGTATTCGCTCTCGCGTCATGGAGGAATTGCCTTTCATGGCTACGGAGGTAATCATTATGAGAATCGTTGCCGCTGGAGGATCAAGACAAGAAGCTCATGAAGAGATCCGTGTTCTTTCTCACCAAGCTTCTGATGTTGTCAAGAAGGAAGGTGGCAATAACGACTTGATCGATCGTATCAAGGCTACCAAGTACTTCGAGCCAGTTTGGGCCGATCTTGATAATATGATGGACCCAAAGAACTTCATTGGCCGTAGTGCACACTCGGTTGAGAAGTACTGTGGACCTGGCGGAGAAGTTGAAGCTGCCCTTTCGGAATGGCGCAAGCAGATTCAATCCAGCAAGGCCGTTGAATTGAGTCTCTAAACCGAAGTTTAATGATTCTGCTATTTCTTCCTATGGATGATTTGAAAACGGATGCACTGTTTTGGGAGAGCATTGGCTGGAGTTCATGGAGTATGGTTTTCCGGATGGATCTCTATGGTTAAGGGATATTTAAAACAACATTTGCAAATTATACCCATTTTCTTTTGAAGGTATTGCCTTATGCGATACGAACAATCTTAATGGAAATATTATTTGTGTTTCAGGTTTCTGGAAGTACTTTTTGCAACTTTGGCAAACATGAAGCCTTGTTACTCTAGAGACTAAATACAAATACAGCATTGGACATTGGACATTATTTTTGCACTTAAATCTGATAATCGGCGTAACTTGATATTTGTTATTATTCAAAGATTTTCTACTAAGCTACTTCTACTTCTCTATTTCAAATACTCGTACAATTATAATAGATAACAAATTAAATACAAAGATATTTAATTAATTATTGAAATGATATATACTTTTTAATAATAAAAATACTCTGTATTAGAGATTAGTGTTTGCGTTTTTGAATTTAATTTTGAAGTAACTACTCGAGTATTAAAACAATATGTAGTTAGATAATCAAATATCATTGGCTAGATTATGGTTGGTGCACTTCAGAATATAAGTCTAAGGATAAGATGACTTCTCTCTTTTTTTTTATTTTCTTTTTTTTTACTGTTGTCTATTTATCTATTGGGATTTGCGGATAAGCAAATTGACCTGGAATAAAAAGTTGGTTGGATGTCATCAAACGAAAATGTCTTTCCACGTGAAGGCGGGCAATCAATTTCTGTTCGTTCCTCGGGGATATAAATATCTTCCGGCGTGCGAGCTTGCTCCCTAGGGGTATCTTACCAGTGACGACTTGTCATATCGTCTCTTCGGGTCAATATATGATCCCCTGTTGGCATGCTGTACTGCAGTCACTGATCAACTTAGTATCCTCAGTCAACCATGCTTCCAACTTGGGTGATTATGAACAGAATGGGGTTCAACAACTGGTTGAACCCATAGTGCTGTGCTTTCCCCGCATCTTCATGATATGCAGAAGTCTGCATTCCTTGACATTTTACGGAAAAATTCTTTCTCGGTACATCCTACGACCGAAAAACCATTCATAATTGTGCTGCACGTTGTTTTCAAAATTACAAATGGCTTAGACTCCCGCCGATGGAATTCTACCGAAAATGACAAAGCAGCATTGGGCGCTCATACAGAGTGCTACTCGTTTATCATGGCTACGATCAAACATTTGGTTTGTTTTGTGGTGCTTTCTTTCTCCTTGAGTTTTGTGTCAGCTCAAGAATGCTGGAAAAATACGACTTGCAATGGTCCCCTGAAGCCGGCATTTCCAGGAAAATGGGATGCAAACATTTATGCGCCTTCAAGCCGCCAGGTATCCCCTAAATCCGTTCTGTCCGCCCAGACTGGGGCTGTTATATCTAAATTCGACGGCGCAATTTTCCTCTCCGGCAATGGCTCAAAATATACCCTTGACTTTGGTAAAGAGGTGGGCGGACTCGTGACTCTCAAATACTCTTCCACAGGACCTGGTGCAATCGGGTTGGCATTTACGGAAGCCAAGAACTATATCGGAGAATGGTCGGATTCGTCAAATGGAGGATTTAAAGGGCCTGATGGAGCTATTTATGCAAACTTTGCATCAGCTGGTTCGGGAACATACACCATGCCAGATCTTTCGCTTCGTGGAGGCTTCCGGTATCTGACGTTGTTTTTAATCACCAACGGTACAATAAGTGTCAACATTAGCAGCGTTGTTCTTGAAATTGGGTTCCAACCAACATGGTCAAATTTACAAGCTTATCAGGGGTACTTTCACAGCAGTGATGAAATGCTTAATAAGATATGGTACTCGGGCGCATACACCTTACAAACCAATTGTGTACCAGTTAACAGCGGGCGACAGATTCCTACTGTTAAAGTAGGATGGGCAAATAATGGTACTATGGGACCTGGTGATACTATCATTGTGGATGGAGCAAAACGGGATCGCGCTGTGTGGCCTGGTGACATGGGTATTGCGGTTCCGTCGACATTTGTCAGTATTGGAGACCTTGTCAGTGTTAAGAACGCCCTTCAAGTTATGTACAATTACCAGGTATGTTATCTATTTTGAGCCAGTTTGGATGTTCTCAAGTGTGCTGGTACCAAATTGTGTTATTATCTAGAACTCTTCCAATAATTCATCACTGATCAGGACTAACCAAAATATAGAACAGCGCGACTGGAGCATTCCCCGAGGCAGGGCCACCATTGCTACAGCTGGGCTCTGATACCTACCATATGTGGACCATGATTGGAACTCACAACTACGTACTTTACACCAATGATACATCGTTCCTTTTGCAGAACTGGGCGAAGTACCAGTTGGCGATGAAGTACATTTATGGAAAAGTTAGCGCCCCTGGTCTCCTCGATGTCACGGGAATCCGAGACTGGGCTCGCTGGCAAGTATGTTTCCCTTCTACTTTGAAATTCCCGAAGTCTAAACTCTCATTTAAATTATATTACAAAGCTAAGAAAAGAAAAAGCAAGGGTCCAATAACAGTGAGAGTCAAATGATGTATACTTCCATACCGACATAATTTAGAGTAATCGACTAACAAATAAATAGTCTCTATCGAACTCTTCTCACCGGTGCTGAACTAGCCACTTGGGCTGGAGATACCACCAATTTGACTGCTACTTGGAATAGTCGTGCGGTTTCTCTCAAAACAGCCGTCAATACATACTGTTTCGACTCGTCTTACGGGGCTTTCAAGGACAATGCGACAGATACTACACTTCATCCTCAAGATGCAAATAGTATGGCGATCCTGTTCGGAGTTGTTCCCCCAACCTCTTCAACCGCCCAAGACATCTCCACCAATCTTCTCAAGAATTGGACTCCAATTGGCGCCGTCGCACCAGAGCTCCCAGAAAATATATCACCCTTCATATCAAGTTTCGAAATTCAGGCCCACTTCAAAATCGGACAAACGAATCGTGCCCTCGATCTCATCCGTCGTTCCTGGGGCTGGTATCTCAATAACCCCAATGGCACTGAAAGTACAGTCGTCGAAGGATATCTCCAAAACGGCACATTTGCATACAGATCAAGCAGAGGCTACATGTACGATACCTCCTATGTATCTCATTCGCACGGCTGGTCATCCGGCCCCACATCCGCACTCACGGAATTTGTTTTGGGCCTCTCTGTTACCAGTCCATTGGGTAAGAAATGGCAATTAGCACCGCAGTTTGGTGATCTAAAGAGTGCGGAAGGTGGATTCACGACGACCTTGGGGAAATTCCAAGCGAGTTGGAAATTGACGTCGACGGGATACACGTTGGATTTTGCAGTACCGGAGGGGACTACGGGATTGATAATCTTACCGGTCAGGGAAGCAAAGCCGAGGATTGTGGTAAATGGAGTGGAGATGAAGGGAACGACGGATCTAAAGATTCATAATGGAGGTGTGGTATTGGAGGCCAGTGGTGGGAAACATAGTGTTGTTTATTATCAATAAATAAATAAATAATGCCACTAGGAGGGAAATCAGGGTTTTTCTAACGAGCTGTATCCGAGCTATTTGAGATGAATGATCATCATTTTCTTTATTGTTTTTTTGTTTCATCTAATAGAAGTACGAGTAGACGAGTTTGAGAGAATTGTGGCAGTGCATGAATTCGACTACTACTTGAGTAGTGTTTTCATTTTGAAAAATGCAGGTGGGAAGTTTGAAATTTTGAATGACGTAACTAGTAGATCGGCACCCCTTACTTAGTAAGAGGGGTTTTGGTAGGAGTTGGTTCCTTTGATATAGAGGGCCCGGGAACTAGATCGAGTTGATAGGATAGAGATATCCAAATACAAATACTCAATAGAGCAAATATAAACTTGATATTCAACAACAACAACCTCAAATCTTCACTATTGTCTAGAAGAATCTCATCTTCAAAGCAATATAATAAGATTTACTCGTACAAGCCCCACAAGGATACGACAACAAGGGTTGTGAATAACCCCACTCATCGACCAGGTAAGGTCCTTTGCTCTATTTGCGACTACAGTGAATAAATATCTTCTTGTGTACCTAAGTCTCTTCTGTCTTAAAATTTATTTTTATACATATCGCGTTTTTGGAAGACCAGAAAAACTAATTCAAGATGATGCGCAAACAGTCTTTGTACGCCAATATGTCTGGAGGACAAGTAGCTGGCGCTCCTGGATCTCACCCGGTCGATATGCCGGTGAGATCTTTCTCGACTAGCAGCGCCTTGACGGATCGTACCGATGAAGGAGAAGCTGTGCCGTTGGAAAATCCTAAGGATGTGAGTACCGGTATTCTCTTACTAAGGGCGCAAATAACGTGGCTGGATGGGGAACTTTTGAGACTGATTGGATTTTCTTGCGCAGACTTCCGAATTGTTAGGAGAGAGATTAAGAGCTTGGAAACATGCGGTTGGATATCTGGAAGATTATATTGGGGCTGTTGAGAAAATGCAAAGGCAACAATCGAAGGAGTATGAGAAAGTCTTGAAAACGATCGCAAATCCGTTAAAGGAAGGACACCACTTTCAGCAGGAATTGGGCGGTATGGTATCTCTACCCTTCTACCCTTTATTTATCACTCCGGTAGACTAATCAATATATTTTAGGCCAGTATGTTTGAAAATATGAGGACTAACAGCCAGGTATGATGTGCCGTGATCTGTTACTGCGCAAATGCTGACCGTGTAGGGTTTGATAAACTCTCATCTCGAAACGGAGAAGAATCTGAAAGGCGCAGTACTCCCAATTCTCGATCGACTTCACAAGGAGATCAAACACAAATCCAAGGAGCTATTATCCGGTGCTTCGAAAGGCGCAAAGGAAGTCGATAAGGCTAGAAATATCACCCAAAAACATATCGAGCTATTAGGATCCCAAGCTGCGAACTATCAGTCCAGCGGTGCTGCCATGAAATCACCCGAAGATCCATACATCGTCCACCGAGGTATTTTGCACCGACTCCACAAGCAAGTTTTGGAGGAGAACGCCAATCGCCATGATCTTATCCAAGTTCAAAATAACTTTGCTCAATTTGAGGCTCACGTTATCGAGATCATTCAACAGACTATGATGAGTTTCACTCAAATCGTCACGAGCCAGTCCGAAAGAGAACAAATACTTTATGCGGATATGCTCAACAGTTGCCAAGCCGTTCCCCCAAATATCGAATGGGAAGGATTCGTTCATCGCAACCAAGCGCTACTTATAGACCCCAACGCTCCCGATCGCTCAGTGGAAGCTATCAGCTTTCCCAACCAAAACCATGCCAGCACCCGAGCTCTCATCGAAGGAACCCTCGAACGCAAAAGCCGAAACAAGTTGAGTTTCGCCGGCTATACAACAGGCTACTACGTCGTAACCCCCAGCAAATTCCTCCACGAATTCAAAGACAGCGATAACATTCGTAAAGACCCTGTCCCCGAGTTATCCATTTACCTCCCAGATGCCACCATAGGAAGCACCAGCGGCGATAAATTTAACATCAAAGGAAAAGATGTCTCAAAGGGTATTGGCAGTAAATTGTCCGGTACCTCCGAAGTAGCTTTTAAGGCCCATTCAGCAGCAGATGCCCAAAAATGGCACGAAGTTATCAGATCAGTCGCAGGATCGGGTCCCGCCGAAGGATATAGTAGTGGACCAACTAGCCCCATGAGCCCGACCGACTCAAGACAAAGCACAGCAGCTTATCCAGTAGAAAAACAACCGGCTTCAATTCAGACAGGTGGAACGATTACTGGAGGGAAAGCGGTTACTAGTCCTGTGGCGCAAACCTCAGTGGGGAATGCGACCGATTTTGCTCCGGGGGCGGTGAGTGAGAAGACTGGTTGAGGGGGTAGGGATGAGTGACAGTTTAAATATTGTAGTCTTGGGGCGTGTGAAGGAGGGTGAATTTTGGCGAATTAGCAAAGTCGGGTTAACCGGTGCGTCAGCGTATATCCAATTCTTCAAGTATGCTCTGTTGAGCGTACGAATTACATTTGAACCTTGATTTGAAGTATATTCACGGCAGATAGTGTGGTGGGCGGATGTAATGTCTAGCTTTAACTACGATATCATCATTATGTTTTTAATTTCATTCGCGCTGGATTTGTTGCTATTTGTATTCCTGATTTCTTGAAGTATACTGATTGATGACTTCATATACAATACGAGTACTTGAGTATGCATTTTTGTAAAGTTGCCACACAACGTTATTTTTCTGGAAGGTCTGACTAGGAAAGATGTATGACATTTGCCTCTGCGCGGTCGAGTATGCCAATCCGGTAGGTACGTCCTAGCAAATGCTCTTTCCGCATGTGATTTGACATCAATTTGAGTTATGCTCAAGATCATGAACTCGGCATGTCCCAATCTTTTACTTTCTTTTCACCACCACATCCCTTTTGACGAATGTATGTCCTGAATACTTGACATTGTATCTACGAGGAAGGTTGTCGTCGATTGACTGAATATACAAATTCATCATGGATAATTCGAGATATCGCAGATTACAAGAACCTCCAATTACCCCGCCTTCTCGAGTTCACACAGCATATCCACGTGAAAAGCATCAGAAAGTAGAATGCGCTCCTCAACCAAATGACCCATTCCAAGACTCATCACTGCCTCGGCCATCAATTGCGGAACAACGATTCGAGCTGCCATCAACACTTTTGAGTCCGCTAAAGGCACCAGAGTCATCCGATCGGTTTAAGAACCCTTTCTTGAACCTTCTTCCAAATTCGCCATTGAATCCACGGAGTAACAATTTCAATCCTAAAGAATGGATCACAAACTTGGTTGCATTCATGGGACAAGATCCAAGGCGATATCCTCGAAGAAGCGCAGGGTTTTCATTTGAGAATTTAAGTGTACACAGTTTCAAAAAACCAACTGACTATCAGAAGAATGTTGCAAATATTGTGTTCGAAATCGGCGCTATGGCTCGATGGTTAGTTGGATCCGGAAAACAAAAGGTCCGGATATTGAAGAGTTTTGATGGCTTAGTCGAGCATGGAGAGATGCTACTACTTCTCGGCCGACCAGGGAGTGGAGTTTCTTCTTTGCTGAAAACGATATCTGGTGACACTCATGGACTTTTCATTGATCTAGATTCTACTATCAACTATCAAGGAGTCTCCATGACCGAAATGCACTCACGATTTCGAGGCGAAGCAATTTATTTGGCCGAGTCAGATATTCATTTTCCAAACTTGACTGTTGGCGAGACACTACTCTTCGCAGCTAAGGCTCGAGCACCGCGCGATTTTACTTTTCCAGGAGTGACTCGAGAAGTGTATGCGGACCATATGAGGGATGTGATGATGGCAACGCTAGGTCTTAGTCACGTCGAGACAGTACCGGTGGGGAATGATAGTGTCAAAGGTATTAGTGGAAGTGAGAGAAAAAGGCTGAGCATTGCAGAAGCAGCTTTGAGCGGTTGTGGATTACAGTGCTGGGATAACAGTACCAGAGGTCTGGATAGTGCTTATGCACTCGAGTTTCTTAAGATGGTTCGACTCTCAACCACTCTTGGAAAAACAACCGCATGTGTTTCATTATACCAAGCCACTCAAAGTGCTTATGATGTAAGATTGGATCGCGAACCTAGGCAAAGCGCTGCTAACTCTATCTCTAGTTATTTGATAAAGTTACAGTACATGAACTCCCAAACCACCCCAAGAGTATTATTGACAAGCGTGACAGGTTCTATACGAGGGAAGACAGATATACTTTGGTCCTTGTGATGAAGCAAAAGCGTTTTTCATTGACATGGGATTCATTTGTCCTCCACATCAAACTACTCCAGAATTCTTGACATCCCTCACAAATCCAGATGAGCGATCAATCCAGTACTAAATATTGACGCTCCTCTCGTGGACCAACGCTGACCGTCATGGAGAACAGGTTTTGAATTCCGAGTACCGCGGACCCCTGAAGAGTTTGTTATGGTCTGGAAAACAAGTCGTCATTATGCAAGACTTTCGCAAGAACTCGAAGCATACGAAAATGAATACCCCTTTGATGGTACCCATGCTCTAGATTTCGCCGCTGCAAGACGATCTCAGCAAGCGAAATATCTGTTCGTTTCCTGTTACTCATAGAGAGATTTGGCTAACTAACGATTAGGCGTAGCAAATCAGCATACACACTCTGCCCAAGACAACAAGTTATGTTATGTATTGGTAGAGGCTTCCAGAGGTTACGTAGCGATATCAACTTCGCAGTTCTTGGTCTCGCAATCAGTAGTTTGATGGCTCTGGTCATCAGTTTCATCTTTTACGATCTACCTGGCGACACCAGCAGTATCAACAGCAGAAGCACATTGCTGTTTGTCTCAATACTGCTTAGTGCGTTTACGAGCTTGCTTGAGGTAATGAGAAGAGCATTCTGGTATTTGTTCGGATCACTGACACTACTATAGATTCTTCGGTTGTCCAGTCTGCGTCCCATTGTGGAGAAGCAAGCAAGATATGCATTCGTGCATCCATTCGCCGAGGCATTATCTTCCATAATCTGCAGCATACCATACAAACTTTGCAACACGATTCTTTCTAACTCTATTCTCTACTTCATGACCGATCTGAGGCGAACATCGTCGGCTTTCTTCACATCCATTGCCTTCTCCTTCGTTATTACAATGACATTGTCTATGATGTTTAGAACGATTGGAGCATCTTGTCGTTCTCTTGCTCAAGCTCTCTGCGTAGCAGCTATCATTATACTAACTTTCATGATGTATGCAGGATTTGTGATACCACCGATGGATATGGTGCCGTGGTTTTGGTGGATAGCTTACATTAATCCAGTTGCATACGCCTACGAAAGTTTGATAATCAACGAATTTTCTGGCCGTATCTTTCCATGTGCGAATCTCGTGCCAACTGGCCCATCGTACATTGGCATCAGTCCCCACAATCGAGTATGCTCTGTTGTTGGATCTATTGCGGGCTTTGAAGAAGTGTTGGGAACTGTGTACCTTGAGCTCAGGTTTGGTTTCCAACCTCATCATTTATGGCGGTATGTATAAATCTCACATCGTTTATATATCAGATATCAAGGCGGTAAAGTTGCTTAAGACTGGGAAACTGATGCACTCAGAAACATGAGCATTTTATTTGCTTTCATGGCATTCTTCATAGCCACATACCTACTCGCTTCAACTCCTACATCGACAGAGAAAGCACATGCGGAGATATTTTTGTTCCAACGGGGACACAAGCCACAACCGAAGAGGCAAAGGCATCTGGAAATATACTCAGGAGCCGAAATTCAAAAATATGGCGGAAATGGTGATCCAATAAGCAGAATACCTAGGCAAACATCAACATTTCAATGGAAGGGCATTTGCCTTGATATCAAAACAGGAGACGGTACACGTCGAATTTTGGACCACGTCGATGGTTGGGTGAAACCGGGTACTTTGACGGCACTCATGGTATGTCTGATGTGATAAGTTTCATACTCATGCTAATAGGAATGAGCTATAGGGTCCGGCCAAAGCAGGAAAGACATCTTTGCTAGATGTCCTGGCATCCAGAAGCAAAGTTGGTATTGTTTCTGGGGAATGCTTGGTTGATGGTTGCATAAGTGATATATCATTTCAACGCAAAGTTGGATATGTTCAGCAACAGGACTTCCACCTTTCAACAACGACAGTACGTGAATCACTACAATTTAGTGCCATCATGCGTCAGTCAAGTAAGGTCACCAAAAAAGAGAAGCTAGCTTATGTGGAAGACATAATCAAGATATTGGAAATGGATGTGTATGCAGATGCTATTGTAGGAGGTTCGTAAATCGGATCCGGCTCATATGACGAGACTGATGACAACTCAGGGTTGAATGTCGAACAGAGAAAAAAACTGACGATAGGTATTGAGCTTGCTGCCAAACCTAAACTTTTACTCTTCTTGGACGAGCCTACCTCGGGTCTCGACAGCAGCACGGCATGGGATATACTCGAGCTTTTGAAAAAGATTACAGCCCATGGCCAAGCAGTTTTGTGTGCAATCCATCAACCCTCTACAACATTGTTTCAGCGCTTCGATCGTCTTCTTTTTCTTGGCCCTGGGGGTCGGCCAATATACTTTGGTAGGCTCGGCGAGAATTGCGAAACGGTCAAGAAGTATTTCGAAGCCAATGGGGCCGACCCTTGTCCTCCGGATGAAAACGTAGCTGAATGGATCATGCAGTAAGTATATTTCAATCAATTTTTGAGCAGCATTTAACATGGAAAAGGACTATTGGATGTACTCCTGGTTCACAAAGTCTTGTCAACTGGCCCGAGGTGTGGAAAAATAGTCGTGAATTAGTCCTTGTTCATCGAAAATTGGATCATATGAGGAAGGCATTGTGTGCAAGGTCAAGTTTTTTTCTGAGGGGAAGCAAGAAACCGCCTCGCCGTAAAGAATTTGCTACACCGTTTTTAATGCAAGTCTGGCGATGTTTTCGAAGAACAAACTTGCACTACTGGCGGACACCTTCTTATATTTATTCGAAATTCGCATTATCCCTTTTCTATGTTCGCTTATTCCTCATGATAGACCCCCACCACCCGAATGCTAATTATCGGTCATAGGCTCTATTACTTGGGTTTTCCTTCTTCGAAGATACAGACTCTCTACAAAATCTACAAAATCAGACTCTCGGCGTGTTAATGCTTCTGTGAGCCGGCACTTTGACTGAAAGGAAACAAAACGCTGCTGATTATTGTGTAGAACTTTGGCATGCAGCTTCGTTCCCCAACTTCTCCAGAACGTTTCAGTGCAACGAGCTCTGTTTGAAGCACGAGAACGTCCTGCAAAGATTTACTCATGGCCAGCTTTCGTCATCAGTAACATACTTGTTGAGATGCCTTGGAATACTCTAGTGGCAATAGTGATATTTCTGAGCTGGTACTATCCTATGGGGATGTACCGCAATGCACTGTCAACGAAAATAATGCTTGAGAGAAGTGGAGTGATGCTTATTCTAATTTGGGTATATCTGATATATGCCAGTACCTTCGGCTACATGGTGCAGATTGGCCTTGAGCGTCCAGAGATGGCCGGGGATATATCGAATGCTACATTTCTGTTGTCTTTGATGTTTTGCGGGTGAGTCTTATATTCTGACCCACATCCTTTTATATAATATGATAGTTAGCTGATGTCTTCCAGCATAATCTCAGCACCTGTAGCACTACCTCAGATATGGGGTATCGTATGGCTTCTATCTCCGTTCACTTATCTAGTCGACGGCATGCTCTCGGTCGGCCTTGCGAACGTCCCTGTCACATGTTCCCAAAACGAGTTTCTTCACTTTGAACCGGTGACGGGAAGTAGCTGCGGTTCTTATATGTCTAGCTATATGCATAAGTCTGGAGGATACCTAACCAATCCTTCTGCGAAGAGTAGATGCGTTTACTGTCCCATCAAAGATTCGACTGAATTCTTGACCGGCGCGGGCATGAGTTACAAGAATCGGTGGCGCAACTTTTGCATAATGTGGGCTTATGTGGGATTCAATATCATAATGACTTTGTTTATCTACTGGTTAGTCAGAATCCCAAAGAGCTGGAAGGGGAAGCCCAAAGAGAGCTTGGAGGGACCATCAGATCTGAAAGATAAAGATGCCAATGAACCAAGTCATTCGGAGAGAAGCTTCGTGAAAGTAAGTGGATATAAAAAGGAGAGTCCTCAATCCAGGAAGCGTGGTCGGTCTAATGACATAGAGCTTGTCGAGATGTAGTTTTGGTTCAGGAGGGTAGCAATGTGTTTCTTGGTGGTGATTTGCAATTGCGGCATGAGAAAGGAGGGGCAGCGGCAGTCTAGAGCCTAGTACTGTGGTTATTATACTCGTATCGTTGATTGGCTTGGCAGTGAAGGCACTTTGTATTGGCTTTTTTATATGGCTATATAGGTAGCTAGGTGGAATAAATACAAGGAAATGCGCATTACTGGTATTATGTTGGTATAATTGATGAGCTTTTGAATTCACTTGTTATGTTTAAGTATCTTGTGTCGAAAGTCAAAAGACTGGTTGGTGATGGGTCAAAAAAGTCTGGTGGTCAAAGACTAAAGCGGCATCGAGGTAGACTTACTTTATTATTAACATTATTACCCCTCAACGTCGTACAAATCAAAAATTATTTTATAATTTGCACCTTCCGTATCCTACTCAATTCTCAACACAGCACTTTCCACAACCAATTTACGCACCAAAAATGTACTGCGCAGAATGCGGGTATCCCCTCCCCGACATCCGCGACGATAACACAACATGCAGCAAATGTAAAACGAGACTCGGTACCTGGTGGGACGAATCATCCAAAACAATGCGCACAAACCGCGAAGCTTTTGTACCAACGAACATGATGAGCGAATTAATGGGAAGCAGAAGTCATTTTGAGATCAACAAACAGGTTTCTGAGAGGATGAACAACTATGGATTGGAGGAGAGAGGGTTCCTAGCCACATTGACGATGTTAGAGATGCGATGGGGTCCTGGAGGTGGAGCGGGGCTGGGAAGAAAAACGATGGAGGGTTTGGGAAAAATGATTAGGAGTACATTGGACATGTCGCTTTCAAGAGGAGAGGTCCGCGAGGCCCTGGCTAAGAATGTGGATATATGGATGCGCCTGCAACGAATTTTCTACCTCGCGGTTCCAATACTCGTCTCGAGATCCTTGCGCGAATCTTATACAGAACAGGGTGCACCGTCGGGACTCGATGTGTCGGAGAGTGTGGCGCTGATACTTAAGAACTTTGATGCGCTGGTGGAGGATTTGGGATATTTGAATAATTTGTTGGTGGTTAGTAGGAATATGTTGGCTGTGAAGGAGACGGCGCAAGAAATTTGTAGGGCGGTGGGATTGGATAAGCAGGTTCATAAACTGGTTATTCTGTGTGTGAATGTTACTAGTAAGGGGTATGATGGGGAGAATGTGGATGATAATAGTAGGGGGAGGTTGAATGAGGTTACGGAACTTTGTGAGTGTGGCCTGCTTTTGCCTCTTGTGGTTTACTGGATTCATGGATCGATGCTGACTTTTCGCAGATAAAAAGCTTCTGGTGACTTGTTTACAACATACGCATAATTGGACTATGGGCAATGATAGGTTCAAGATGTCGTTTTGGTTCGATATGCTTTTCGATAATGATCTGCATAACGATCCTGTGCATGAACTTCCTCCGGACGATCTAAATGTGGAGAAGGTATATCATGAGGTTAAAAATTGGTTGACCAGACACTCTGCCGATCAGGATGAGACAGCCAGGGAGCTCCTGGAGAACTATTCTGTGGAAGCTGAGATGGACTGTACACCTGGACTACTTCCACAAATTGACGAATTCATCGTCACGGATGCGGATAAGGAGGATGATCCTGAAGAAACAACACCGGTATGGAAACCCGAATTGACGGATAAATATGAGCAAGATCGTCTTTACGCCCGTGTGTCGCATGAAATTGATATCTGGTGGAAGCGTCAAAGAGATCAAAATTACGAGGGTTGGGTTATCAAAATGGTATCTGTGGAGGATGCAATGAAACGCGCGGAGGCTTGTAAGGAGACTGCGATGCATAGGTTTCTTCCTCAACGGGCTTTCCAAGATCAAGATGCATATGATCAGGATGAACAATTAGAGGAGCCACCTTTACATGATGAGATTGATGATACCCGCTCGATGGATGGGCATGATGGTGAGGAGGATGGTGAAGAGGAAGATGAGGAAGACGACGATGAGTCTTACGCGGAAGGACCTTTGAGAGGTCTTTTAACCGAAATTCCCAATATACTCGACACGAAACAAATCGAGGCTCTTCATATGACTGTGAAAGCTTGTATCGTCGACTCAATGGGTTCCGGACTCACACCAGCTGGTGAAAATCTCCAGAAGACACGATGTAAAATGTTTCTAGCTTTGGATTGTGGCAAGAATTTACTTCGAGAGATGCTAGTTTTTATCGCCGTTTGGGAACAAACTGATCAACACTTCATTTTCCAGATTACCGCTCAAATCATCGAGTCCTTTCATCACAACGCTTTGTTGCCATATGCTTGGAGCTCTCTTAGGATCATGAAGGATATTGTCTCGCCAGCACAAACAGTCCTTTTACGTCTCATCAATTACATGTTCCGCGCTCGAAAGGATAGTCCTATCTACGATGATCTGAGAGATTACAACAGAGATGCAAAGCTTATTCATTTCCTCTTTACATATTTCCGCACACGCGTCGTCCCTGATTGCATTGCTCTCATTCATGCGCAAGCTCAAATTCGAGCCCAAAAGAGCGATCCTAATGACTTCCCAGTCGATTTATGGGATATGGAACGTGCTAAAGATGGACTTTCGCAATATCTCGACTTCATATCTGTCATTGCAGAAATACCCGAGATGCGACCACTTCTCATTGAATGGGAATCAGTCTATGAACTTATCGCTCTTCTCCGAGCTCTCGAACAGGGCGTGGCACGAAAAAATTTCTCCGAACAACCATTACCCAATCGTCGACCAGCTCCTGTACCTCCACCAGGCGGTGGAATTCAAGCCATAGAACGTCCATATGAAAGTCCCACCAGTCAAAACTCACCCCAATTTCCTGGTCCCGGTCAAACTCTTCCACCTCTTCACGACACACCACATAAATTCCCATGGTCAGGTATTAAAATCCAAATCCTCATCATTCTCACATCATTAGTAGCACCCGATAATCCCCGTCGAAACGGACCTGGAAATCCTTTAGTGCAGAGACAATTGTTGGATCAGAATGGCATCATGCCGCTACTTAATTGCTGTGTTTATGATGGTCATAATGAGTATATTAAAGAGAGAGCGACGCTTTGTCTGAAATATGTTATGGAGGGTTGTGATGAGGCGCAGAAGTGGGTGAAGGATTTGGTGCCGGCTAATAAGCAGAGGGGTGCGGGCGCGCAGGGGGGGAATGGAAATGCGAATGGAGGTGGAGGTGGAGGTCCGGGGGGGAATGCAGGTGCTGGTGGTGGTGGAGGAGGTAATGGTGGAATGGGCGCAGGTGTGAATGTGAATAGGAATATGAATACAGGTGGAGAAGCAAGTATTGGGCAACGCATGGGAGATGTGGATCCGGCGCTGCAATTGGAGAAATTGAGGTTGCAGGAGAGGGTTAGAGTTGCAGAGGCAAAGGCTAGGGATATTAGGGCCAAGGAAAATGGAGGGAAGTAGGGGGTTGGAGTGGAGTGGAGGGGATTTGAGAGGAGAAGAAAGGTATGGAAAATATTGCATGAAAATGGCGTATGATATATGGGATATGAAATATGGGACATGTATGGGAATGGGAATGGGTATGGATATGGGATATGGGATATGGGAAGGGATTGTGTTTGAGGGAGGTATGAGGGAGGTATGATTGTATGAACGATAGATAAATACCCTTGCTGGCGTTGGGTTTGAATCTTTGATTTGCGCGTACATAGATGGAGATGGTACGGTTTAGATGGAATGGTTTAGATGGTATGTTGCATATTGCATAGTATGGAGAGGATGTTAGGGGGAGGATGTTAGGGGGAGGATTTTAGAGAGAGGATGTTAGGGAGCGAAGAGTTAAATGATGAAAAAATATGAAACTGATGGATGTAATGGATGTGATGAAAATCGTAAGTGTAGGTAGGGGTGAGGGTGAGTGAGGGTGAGGGTGAGGGTGGTTGTGATGAAAAATGATGAAAGTGCATTTATAATACAGTATTACACGAGTCATTCATTCATTCACTCATTCATCCACATCTCACATCTCACATCCCTAATCCAGCTACCACTCGAATAGTAAAGCAAATCTTTCCATTTTCAAATCAAACTAAATCAAAGTAAAGCAAGTAAGTCTACTTGAAGTTGATTTTTTCCTTAATCATGACGACCTAATCATCCAACCTCTATCTATCCCCAGTCCCCACTCTCATTCACCCCTCCCAACCCACAGAATCTCCACACACATATACAACGTCAATATCGCCAGCCAATGCACAGCCCGATTCTCATCCCATGCTTCTTCCCATGCATGCATGCATGCTCCATCCCATCCCATCCTATTTCACCCAATTCACACAGAATCTCCATGCCTTTACTTCACCACTTCTTCACCACTTCACCACTTCACCACCACCACCACACCACATCTCCACCACCTTCAAGTTAACCACTTCCACTTCCACCATACCCATACCCATACCCCTCCCACTCAAACCTCGGCAATACCATCGATTGTCGATTATTATGACTATATCTTTCATCCACATCCACATCCTTAGAATCTTCTTCTTCTTTTTCTTTTTTTCAGAAAAAGGGAAATTAATTAGTATAGTATAACCATTAAAAAATAGAATAAAAGTAAAAAGACTCAAAGATGGAAGGAGGAGAAAAAAAAGGAAGTGGAAATATGACAGAGGGAGAAAAAAGTAAAAAAGGGAATACTGTACATACCGGTACCCGAATCGTGGACTTCGCTTGTATGACGAATATGCATATGCATATGCCCCTGCATGTCTTCTCCCTGGCTAATAAGACTCGCAGATTCCATCTCCATCGTAGCAGATGCAGATGCCTCACCAACACCATTAATTCCTACTCCTCCAGCACCCCCTCCAACAACCCCCTCCCCACTTCCACTTCCACCCCCACTCCCCCACCAAACCCCATCCCCCTCCAACTAACACTCGCTCTCCTCAAAAACCCACCTCCACCTCCACCCCCACCAAATCTCAATCGCATTCCCATTCCCGTTTTCATCCTTGATATTGCCCCAGTTCCAAACCCATTACCAGTATTCCCACCACTATTCCCACCAGATCTATATCTCTGAGCAGCAGTTCCTCTCTGAATTCCCATTCCCATTCCCGTCATTCCCGTCATCCCCATACCCAATCCTATACCCATACCCTCAACATCAGCACCCGCACCACCCACACCACCCAGCGCAGAACCAACAAGTCCAAAACCGGTAATAGGCGCAGTCCACGAACGACGAAATTTTTTGGATCTGGATCTTGATCTGGATTTTGATGGAGATGGAGATGGAGATCCAGAAAGTAAAGAAATAATAGGTGGTGTACCGGTACAGATATTGTGGTGTATGGGATGCGAGCGAAGGGGGTTTTCGTGGTTACTAGGGGGAGGAGGAAGTTAGTTAGGTTAGGTGGGTTGGGTAGGGCTGGGGGGTTTTGTTAGAGAAGAGAGAAAGGGAAAGGGAAAGGAAATAAGGTCAAATAGTAGTACACTCAAGTTCAACAATCAACAATCAAGAAAGAAAAGAAAACTTACAGATTCCTCGCCACTCTTTCCATCCTCTCCTTTTCCAAGCGGATTTTTCTGTCCTCTGCACTCTCGACTTGTTCAACTTGTTCAACTTGTGCTGCTTGTCCTGCTTGTCCTGCTTGTCCTGCTTGTCCTGCTTGTCCATCATGTTCTGCTTGTCCATCATGTTCTGCTTGTCCATCGTGTTCTGCTTGCTCAACTTGTTCTGTCTTCTCAACTTTCTCTCCTTGCCCTCCTTGCCCTCCTTGTCCTCCTTCCTCTTTTTTCACTTCCAAACCCACGCCCATACCTAAACCCACCAATTCATCCTCATGCTTATCCTCTCCCTCTCTCTCCCCCTTCCCCTTTTGTTCTCCCTCTCTCCCACCCGACAAAGGCAAAGGTTTCCTCGGAATTGTAAAGGCTCTCTTTCTTCTCATTTCCATTTCCATTTCCTTTTCCTTTCCCAGATCTTCCTGTCTCAAATTTTCCTTTCCCACACCCATTCCCACACCCATCAAACTCGATTCCGATCCTGACTCCATCACTTCCAGTTGCAGTTTCCTTCAAATTCTTTTCCAGTTCCTTTCCAGTTCCTTTCCAATTTTCTCTCTTCCTTTCCACTCTCCACTTCCTTTCCAATCTTTCCAATCTTTCCAATCTTTCCAATCTTTCCAATTCCCTAATCCCCTATTCCCCTCCCTTCCCTTCCCTTATGGTAGAAAGAAAGAAAGAAAGAAAGGAAATCAAAAAAGATGCGTTTGAAGTATCAAGTATCAAGTACGTACTGACACAAAATAAACCACCCAGGTACATAGATAGGTATGTATGTACAATGAGTAGACCGACCGACTGACTGACTGACTGACTGACTGACTGAACAAACCGAACAAACCAACCGATAGACTGAGGGAAGAATTTTCTCAAGAAATTAAAGAAACAATTGATGAAATTCCCTTTGCTTTTTTGTTTCCTTATGCTTTCTGTTTTCCTGTTTTCTTGTTTTTCTGTTTTACTATTGATATTAGTAAACCAATCATAGATCAACCATAGACAGATAGACCGATAGATATCAGATTGAATTTATCTAATAAAGAATCAATCAATCAATCAATTAATCAATTCAATAAATTTTTGATTATTTGTATATGAGAGAGAGATTAGGATTAGATCGGACCGAGAAAAGTGAATATGATGTGGGAAAGTGAATAAGATGAGATGAGGTGAGAGATAAAATAACTTCCTCGGACATTGGGGTCTTTAAGGCGGCCATGCAACTAGCCAGCTGTGAAAGAAATAGATTGAATATTTATCTATAAGTACCTATAAATTTAAACCTTCTACCAATTTTCTGCAGACAGAGACAGCCTACCTAGCAATAGCAATAGCAAAAGCAAAACACACCAAACAAAACCCACCCGTCATCCACCCATCAACCTCCCAACTAATCCCCCATAGCATCCTCAAAAAGCCCCCTCAACTGTTCTCTCTCCTCCCCCAACTCCCCCGACAAACCCGGCGCCAACATCAACACTCTCTCTTGAGGAATCGTCCCCTCAACCAACCCCTCAATATGTTCCCTCTTAAACCCCAAATCCTTCAATCCCCTGGGCTGATCCCCCAATTCCTCCAAGAACTTCTCTAGCGCTTCTGCCAATACCGCACCCGCGCTTTCCAATTTCACATTCGAGATGTCGACGCCGAAACATTCGGCGGCCGCTAGGTGCCGCTCGGGGTTGGAGGCGCCGGTGAAGCGGAAGACAGCGGGGGCGGAGACGGCGACGGAGACCCCGTGGGGGATGATGGGAGTTTGGGTGACGTAGCCGGGGTGCGTATATCCGGGGTTTTGGCCAGATATGGGGTAGGACATTCCTAGTTTGTTAGTATATGATGGGAGATAAGAAGTTGCGTATGCTGGCTCTGGATTTTGAAAGAGCTGATTATAGCTCTCAGAATTACCAGTATCGAAATAATAATCAGGGAAGAGGGAGACTGAGGGTGAAGGAAAAGAGGAGACATACCATGACACAAATGCACACCCGCATTACCAAACCCCACACCCGCCAACGTAGCCGCCAACAACATTTGACTCTGAGCCTCATGATCCTCGGGATCCTTCGTGGCCCTCGGCAAATACTTCGCCGTACTCTTCAACGCCTGCAATGAGAAAATATCACTAATAGGATTAGCACCCTGATACGACGGTCTATTAATGGGATTCGTAGGTCTGGGAGTCCTCTCATAATAGGGAATTGCAGTCCAGCTCTCCAAACTGTGGCATAAAACATCAAGACCTGAGCTGGCATGGACGGCCGATGGCATGGTGCGGGTATTTAATGGATCACATATACCGAGTAGGGGCTTGAGATTTCGATGAGCGATGCCTGTTTTGGCTTTGTGGGATACGAGGTCGAAGATGGCGGTGCCGGTTGTTTCGGAGCCGGTTCCGGCGGTGGTGGGGACGGCTATTAGTGGTAAGAGGGTTTTGTCTATGGGTCGGCCTTTTCCAAGTGGAGCATTGACAAAGTCCATAAAGTCTGCATCTGGATAGCAGGTATAAAGATTCATGAGCTTGGCTGTGTCGATGACTGAACCACCTCCAACTGCTAGAATGGCATCTGGTTGGTAGGTCTTGGAGAACACAATTGCTTCTTTGACACTATTTGCGTTTGTTAGAAAATGTGATGACTTGAACCATGTCAAATTACAGGAATTTCACAAAGGTTGTGAAATCATACAGTTGTTCACTTGAAGCAACACTTCTTCTCTCACTCTCCACCTCCAATACTAGTAAGTGGATTGAGAGAAGAAAATCATGCAGTTGTTTCACTTGAAGCAAGACTTTCTTCTCTTCTATTTTACTCCCAACACTAGCAAGTGAAGCAATCAAAGACCAAAAAAGCATGAATCACACCAAACACCTATCCTCCCAAAAATCCCAGAAAACCCCCCAAAAAAACTCACGAAGTATCCTTCGGCTCCACCCTACACTGATCAAAAACCTTGAACTCCACCCCCTCCCTATTCAACCCCTCAGTCACCTGCCTCATCGCATCCAAACCCCTCACCACCCGATCCGTCACCACCAGCACTCTCTTGGCGCCCAAATTTTTAAAATCCATCCCCACCTCCTTAGTAACGCCTTCACCGAACCGAATACTACTAGCCGCCATTTCAAACGCGTATTCTTTCTGTCTACTCGTATCGATTGGGGTTGCATAGTTTCGTTGAAGATTTCTCTTGGCGTGGCTGAGGAGATTGGGGGAGGGCTTGTGGTGGTGGTGGTGGGTGGGGTTGCCGTGGCAGGGACAGGATGGGGGGTGTGTGTATTGGATTGTGCGGAGGAGGTTCATGGCTTTGGCGGCTTTCTGGTGGGTTTGTTAGTTGTGCGTGCGAGTGGAATTAGGTTGAGGGGGGCTTGTTGATGAGATTGGAATGTAAGCCAACTCGTCAATGGAAGTGCTGTCATATATAAAATGCAAAGAAAAGCAAAGCAAAGAAAGAAAGAAAAGAGCATCAATACATACAGTAGGAGCAACCCGTATAGCAGACATGATGGAGATCTATCTATCTGCCTCTATCTGCCAAAATCCTTGTGTATTCTGTGTATATCGTCCGGATATTTGTGATGGGTTACCTGCAGTTCAAATGGTATTCCTTATATTCGAATTAGGGTGTGACAATGTAGTGTAGTGTCTTGGGGTCAATGTACTGTAATGTAGCTTTTCCGATGCCGCTTCTCTTATTCAGCTCCCTATTCAGCTCCGTATCCAATTCGATATCCTACCTATCCTATTTGTTCCTTATTTCTTATCCTTTATGCTTTATGCCTATGAGCAAGCACACACAGTCTCTCTATCTAATGATGTTGTCGTCTCAGCTAGCTCAACTAGCTCATCCCACAAATGCGGGGAAAGCTACCCATACCCATACCCATGTGTGCCAAGCCGAGGTCGGATCTCCGGAAATATGACCCTACGCTATTTGTGGGGAACCTGGAAAGGAGAAACATTCAAACATGTACTCAGGAAAGTAAATCAACACTTCAATAAATATATTTAAGTTTCAAAATCATATGTTGATTGTAGATGAGAGTAGAATTTCCTCATAATAAAGATATTGATAATGATATATTCATTTCATTTGCCTTCAAGTTGACACACTCATTCCACTCCCTCCCCTCCTATTCATTCCATACCTATCCATCAAGTCTGTAAACACCAAGGTATCAAATCCAAACCATCCGAGCTAAACACTGTCCGTTCAATTTATGACCGATCCGACCCTCCCCTTTCCCCGAAACATCAGTATCCGATTAAATAAATACAAGACGAGATGCGCCAAAAAGGAAACCAATGCCCCCCATTTGCCACCCCGAGGAGAAAATCAATCAGTAAAAACATTGTGGTGAAAGGATCAAGCCTAAACTCCATCTGATGACTATAAAAATAAAATCAACGCGCACTCCGCTATGTATCTCCAGATTATACAACCTATCTTATAACCGTAAATGACGTATAATGCATCAAGTGTTGAGAAGTGTTTCTCCAGTTTCGTTTCGTATGTTGGATTCGATATATTACCTGCCCCATCGGCTGCCTCGGCGACTGCTTGAGCCGGAATCACCGCCCCTACTTGCTTCGTATACTCCTCTGGGTTCGTCGATGCTTCTTCGGGAAAGATCTCGCCCAATCTCACTCATATCGAAGAGGAGTGGCTCATCATCTTGTTCATATGGTCCCATACCTCTACTAAAACTATATCTGCCGCCACCAGCTCTTTCACTGCCACTTCCACTTCCTCTATCTACCAAGAGGCTAGAAAAAGAACCTGCCTGAGGTGGTGTAACTCTACGTCCACCAGTTTTACCGATTCGTGGTCGATATGGTGAGTTTGCAGATCCTGGACCACTGAACCGAGAGAGCTGAGGAACTTCCGAATCATGAGCTTCCAAAGACGATGAGGCTTGGCGAGACATGGCAGCGGAGCCTTCGGGAATACGAGGAGCAGCTTGAAGTAAGGATGGCGATTGTGAAGTGGGTGATGCTACATCATCTGAGGCTTGCCCTATATTTAAAAGAGTACTTAGGCTTGGTGGTTCTCGATCATTAGCTCCTAAGCTAATGCTTCTATGAACTCCAAATGGAAGATCGCTCAAATCGTCTTCAATTGCGAGTGATCTATGTTGCTGAGCGACGGAGCTTGACCTTCGAACATGAGGATAATAAGGTCTGGGGGAGGTAGGAATATCAATAGCGTTTGTCCCAGCATCATTCGAGTGATCATTATCTTCAACATCTTCTAGCCTTGCCTCTGAGGTTCTACTTCGTCGACTCAACCTTCGTGGTTGGTCATACTCAGCTATTGAGTTTGCACTCAATCGTGAAGGGATGGCTGGAGTATGCGGGGTGTGTGGCGAGATGGGTTTACCAGGGGAGGATGATGCTGAGACCGAGGTGGCAGCAACCATAGGAGGTACACTAGACAATTGTCTGCTCGAGGAGCTTGAAGATCGTTGCAGCATAGTCGAGGAAGCCATAGAATCTGTCAAAGCATTATGTGACTCCCGCATTGATTGAAATTTGGATAGTTGTGCCGTGGCTCTTTTTCTCGATGCTTCTCCAGAAGGCTCGAAGCTTTGTAAGGTCTTTTTACTATCGAGAAGCTTCAAAAACTCCGATATATTATCATCATCGGTTTGTAGAGATCCAGAACTTCCTCCCGTTCCAGCTTCTGCAAGGATGCCAGAACCTGGCTGCACAGAAGATGAGAGACTCTGCTTGCCACTGCTACCTTGATCATCATCCACCAATTTGCTAGCACCTCCATACGAAGACCTGCCACGACGGTGAGTAAAGCTGCTGCTGTATCGGCTGATTGGAGCAGGCTTTGGTGAGCTTGAGACAGATGTTGGAACGATGTTATCTGAGACCACAGGGCCACCTCTCAAGGTAGCTGGCATTCCAGCAGTGAGAGAAGAACGATTTCTTGCTTGTGCCAGTGCACTAATCCCAGATGCTCTCGGTAGAGATCCTGGAGATGCAGGTAGAGTTTCACCAGCATAAGTGGCACGGCTGGGTGAGGAAGATAGGGAGCCAGCCTTGAATGGCTGAAATGACAACGATGGTCTCCTCGCCAAAGCGATGCCTTCTAACGACTTCAAGGAGCCCTTCGAAGTGAGTGACGGTCGTGAGAGTGGGAAAGATCCTACAGGCGGAGAACTCGTATCCGATCCCATGGGTCTCTGTGCCCTCAAGGCGGATATGGGGCTCGAGCCTCTTGGGGGAGCATTACCATGGAACGTAGATAAACTTCCATATGTCTGAGCTGGACCAGAATCATCTGTGAGGTGCTTGTGTGCTGGAAGTGAGCCAATTTCGGTTTGCTTGGTTGAACGTCGTCGACTTAAATCACCTCTAGCACCCAAGGAGGGCGTAAAGAAATGTTCGTCTGCACCCATAAATCTGGAGCTGAGAAGTGATTCCGAATCATCAACACGAAAGTTACAATCGTTTCGATATGTTACTTCAGCAAAGATCTGACCAGCTGGGGTGTCAGTCGTTCCAAGAACATAAGTCGAGGTAACTGGGCCAGTATGGTCAAACATAGGTTGCTTTAGTCCATCGATTCGACGCGGTTGGGGATCACCGGCTGCAATACGACAATTGACAATCATTGAATTTGTTGGCGATCCACTCTTTCCCCGATTCTTTACGAATTTCCAGGCGGGCACAAGCTTGGCTGTGGAATATAATGAGCGAAAGAAGACAATGCACTTTTTGTAAACGGTGGGCAACGTAGACCCAAAATCGTGGAGCTGCTCCCCGGGAATGTCTCTGAGCTCAATTCTCCATCGTTCTAGTATGACTTCACTACGTCCTTCACCTGAACCACTAGAATTACTTAAAGCATCTAAAGCATCCCATCGCTTTCCTAGATCATCCACGATAACCAATCTTTGGCTGCTCGTCAAGTGGGAAGTATCGAGGTATGTTTCTATTATCAGTGGCGGTGGTCGATTCTGAAAGCCGCCGCACATTCGCCAAGTGCTGAGCTCGTCTCGATATGCATCGGTATCATCAGTTTCGATTTGAAACTATTGGGGCGAACAGTTAGTTATGGCAGAATCGAAGCGAAAGAATGACGGTACACGCATACCCATTTGTTGACTTTCTTAGTTCCTTCTTTGGTGAAGACCACAGGAAGTCCTACTCTTGATCCTAGCAAGATAATGGCAGCTTTCGTGTGGAAGTTCTAGAGGGAGTTCAGAGATTAGCTTTGTTTCATATGCGGCTCGAGGATGGATGATGATTGAGTGTCACTGACTTGGATGATTTGATCCAGTTTCTTGACCGCTTCTCGACTTGGGCCAGTAGAAGTCATGACTCCACTATCTCCACTAACATCATCTACCTCTTGGTAATGTGGCATATCGGGTGTTGTTCTCGAATAAGCAGTTCGGGCTTCTTCTCTGGGGTTGTTTGTTCGAGATGGATTTGTTCGCGGTGATGAGGCTGGCGAGGCCGTTATAGGTGATGGCCGAGGATGCTGATGCATTATATGATAATTGCTGACGTAGATGTTGAATCGTAGCAAGCTGTCGCCTTAGAGGCAGATGCAAGATGTGCTGGTATTTGCAGAAAGATTATGCTCGTACCCAGGTCTCACATCAACAATCGTAGGTTCTAGATAGTAGATAAAGCGGTTCCGAGATACCACATAACCTGGGCATCCATCATAGTTTGATAAATGTATTCTTTTCGAGAGATCGAATTCTAGAGCTTTATCACTTGGGATGAATAGAGAGACCAAGATTGTGGAGGGCCGTATAGGTTATCCTCCAAAGTAGAGTAGTGGAAACGAAGGTGTTGTTGGGGAGGGGGAAGAGGTGCTTTTGAAGTGGGTAACGGGAGATTTAAGCAACGGGCATCTTTACGGATAGGATAACCTAGGGCCTTTTCGAATGAGGCGTAAGGCTGGCTAGACAATGAATCGAGTAAAATCTTTCGTTGTATTTATTTGCTGAACAGAAAACGTTCTTTCGAGTTGTAAATTGAATGAAATTGTGAAATTATTGCGCGAGAATAATAATTTGGGATGGGAATAAGTTTTTAAGATTTTGTAGCAGATGAATGTAATGTTGGGAAGTTAAAGTTGTGGTGGGTGGAAGTTAGAAGTTAGAAGTTTATGGTGGTACAACGAGGTTGAAGCTCAGATGGGCGATCAAAGAGTCATGCAGGCGGTGGATGAATTGGGTTGGGTTGGTTGGGTGATGGATGAGTGGATAACTAGGTACTTTTAATTGATTTCTTTTGGTGGTACATAATATATAATGATAACAATTGAATACAATGAGATAATGAAATAAAAATGAAAATATATATATATATATTATATATATTATCTCAATTTGTTATGATATATTTACCTAGATATTCATATATTAAGTGAAGGGTTCGTGTCAAGCAACTCGCTCAGGCACCCAAGGCTAAAGCTGCATTCAGTAGATTATATCTTCCTCTGATAACGAAATATCGGCTAACCGATAAGGAAATTGAAACCTTTCATCATTTTCACTTGTTCACCATATCAAATATCATTCACCATTCATCATTTCACTCTCTATTCAGAATCAGAATCACTTAAGCCAATCATTATAAATTCTCAATTAATCCTCAATTCTCCTTAATCCTTCTCAATCTTTATAAACAGTATGAACATCAAATATAATTAGACAATTGATATAACATCTCCATACTCTCTGCCTGTCTACTGTTACTGTATTATCATTCCTAGTAGCAGATAAAGTTCCGATAGATTTTGTTGAATATATCGTATTTACTCCAATATATCTTTTATCCGTTATCTATACTGCCAGTGTATCATTTGACAGCTTCGATCATTATATATAGTATATATTGATTGCGTTGTACATCATGATATATCTCCAAGGATTGATTGATACAATTTCTACTCGAGTACCTATATCTCTCACAACACCTTACCTTCATTCAACCTTCAACTTTCTTTTTCATCGATTGACCGAGTCACCGGCTAACATGTCCGATCCCTTCCGATTGAATGATACATAACATCCCTTTTATCAAGTCTGCCGGCCCATCGAGACCAATCATACTAAATTCAAAAGACAATTTCCAACAACTGCTGCAGTCTGCCGCCTACATATCATGTACTCATTGTGTATCACAACTGCTTACCTACCTATCTACCTATCTACCTAATATATGAATCGAGCAGAGTGCATCAACTAAGGGTGTACAGAAACGAATGAGTCAAATCTTACTCGAGTACAAGGTAACAATAAACAACAAACGCCGCCACAACAAACGCCGCCACAACTCAGCCACAGATCTATTGGAAACCAAACTGCAGCAGCGTATCGATTGTTCTCAATATAAGCAAAGACGCAGCCTCGTTTCATTCAATAATTTTAATTGGTATATGTTGATTCACTATATCCCGATAAGGCTTTCTTACTTATCAAGACAATCTCAAAAGGTTGTGAGACTGAAATTCAAAATCTACGTGTCAATTACAAACATTCTGAACACCTTTCCAGAAATCGAATGAGGAGACACAGAAGATACAGGAAATCTCACCTACCTATTCTTTATTCTTCTTGCTAATACAACAAACCCCCATGGTTATCATCTATTAGTACGCTTGGCAAAGATATGTTCTTTTTCATTCACAGCAAACATACTCGAATACATCAAACAAAAGAGATATATCATATCACATCATATCCCACGTTAAGAGACGACCTCATGACTTTTACTCGAGTAAATATCAATTGTTGGAATCCAAGTAGTAGTTGACTGACTTGAAACATGATAAAAAACTTTAGGGCCACAATTCTCACGGCCATTCTTATCAATAGAATACTCGAGTAGAATCCCCAAGTTAAAGTAATTCGAAGATGTGCGTTGTTGACTCGGACTTCTTTCTCTTTATAGAGTAGATAAATAAGTAAGTGCATTTTTTGATCTTGGAAGATTATCTACCTTGAATCACTTAATATCATTAACCTGAGTGTGATATATATGATAGTGGATACTCGAGTATTTAATAGGTATTGTATTTCCACGTCAAAGATATCAACAAATGGTAAGTAATTTTGGTATATTTGTTCCCTTGAGATCAATTGCTAGCGCACGCACTGAGAACTATTTCAAAGTTGATCACATGACCGAGTCTTATTATCTTGTGCCTAGGTATCTATTCAGCCATTGAAAGTCCTGTCCTGTGTACATAAGTATATAACAACTTAGCTACTCGGAGCCGTTTGATACTATCACGCCATTATTGAACCATCAAGGTAATTTGAAATGTTTCTAATGGAACCATTTCATCAAGGTGCCCATGCCAAATCCAAAGTTGTTTCCTCCAGAAAATCAGTCATCAACAATACTCGTATAACCGGTTCACATCAATCACATATGCATCCATCAAAGTTCGAAATGTGGAAGGAAGGAGATACGGTCTAGACTTCAACATAAGCTTTCAAGGCAAATATACACCAAACGACCATTACTTTCTCCAGTCCTTATTTCTCTCTTTATCTTATTTCTTTCTCACTCGTCAATCGTTGTGTTGTTGTGCCTGACTACCGAAGTTTGGTAGAGAGATTGGTTGTTAAGTTTCAGCTAGTGTTTAAGTTGAACGGCATTGTTGTAGGCTGACTGCTTGGCATACCGATAGACAGGCTTGTTTGGGTCAAGTTCAAGTACCGTCGTACCTACCCTTATGATTGGTTACCTATCGCGGCGCGGGGGGTTAAAGGATGTTATTTCACCATGGCTACATACCTAGGTAGAATGATCGATTGCCTTAATTGTTCACGCGGATGATCACGGGTTATAGAATAGAAACTTATTTATTTCATCTTCGAAGGTCTGGAATTTCAATTTGAGAAATCACTGAAAGTTACATTCATTTAGGAAAAATATTACTTCAATTTAAGGTTTGTTTCTTATTAGTTTATTAGAAAAGAATACTTTAATTTGAGATTTAGTTTTTTTTTTTTTTAGGAAAAGAAAAAACAACTTTGATCTAAAATTGAAATTTGAGATAACAATATACTCTATCTATATAGTCCAGCTATTATATATATACGACCTCCACTCACTCACTCCATTCCTTCCATATCTTAACTTAACTTAACTTAAGCATCACTCACTCACTCACTCACTCCTCTTCAACCACATCCCTCTCGCAATCACCAATTTCTCAGCTTCAGCATGGGCATACTTACATTGCAATAAATGTAATTCCTTCCAAGCCCCCTCACCCATTGATCGAGCACAGTATGGACACTCATCCTCATCCTCATTCTCATTCTCATTCTCATTCTCATTCTCATTCTCATTCTCATTCTCATTCTCATTCTCATTCTCCTTTGCATCCTCATGATCTCCAAAAGAGGAAGAGGAAGAGACTTGGGATTCAAATCCATCACGTGTATATTTGACGATATCATCGAGCCATGCTTCGAGAATCGGTTGGTCGTCGGTGGGTTTGGGATTGGGATTGGGATTGTAAGCATCGCTTGTATATGAGTGGATTTGTAGGTTGGTTGGGGTAAGAGGGCTGGGTTTGGAGTGGGAGTGGGATTTGGATTGGTATTGCGCGGGACAAAATGCAAAGATGGCTTGGATTTCGTGGACTAGTTCGCTGATTCTTTCGCTTATTTCTTCTTGTTTGTCTTCTTGTTTGTTTTCTTGTTCGTGATCTTGTTTGTTATCTTGATCTTGTTCGTGAGCTTGATCGTGGTTAATACTCTTCTTACCCTTACTATCACAACCTTTTTTATCACAACCTTTTTGAGAGGGAACGTCGATGGATTGGGATACTTGGGTGTCTCTCTTCTCTCTAGCACTAGCAGCAGATTTTTTTTCCTTGGCAGCGGCACGCGCAATGGCACGCGTCTCAAATTCGTAAGTGCATGTTTGACATACGGTTCCAAAGGGATAGTTGCAGTTGGTGTTGAGGCAGATGATGGGTTCGCCGATCCAGGTTGGGGTTGAGGATGTGGATGTGGATGTGGATGATGCGGTGCTTAGCATGGAACTGTAGTAGTCGGACATTTTTGTTGGGGTATGAAAGAGAAGAGTAGTAGGAGGGAGGGAGGATGTTGAGTTGAGTTGGGTTGAGTGGAGTGTGAGGTGTTGATGAGGTTGTTGATGGAAAGATGGAAAGATGGAAAGATGGATGGAAGGGAATAAGGGAATTAGATATGTTTTTATATATTATGATGTGATATGATATGATATGATACAATATAATGTGTGTAGTTAATTATTCTTTGTTTGTATGAATGAATGAAACTTTGTTTTGAAACTTCCTTTGTACGAGTATGTGTGTATGTGTATGTATATGTTCTACCGAAGACAAGACAAAAGAATAAAAATATACTTTCTTTGTTCGAGGACTGATGGTTTCTTTGTGGGTTGTGGATTGTGGATTGTGGATTGTGGATTGTGGATTGTAATAGAGTGATTGTTTAGATGGATGGATGGATGGATGGATGGCTGGAG